GCCCCCCCGAGCCCCCCCGCTCCCTCCTCTGGAGGTCTTAGCGTCGTTGCACGAAAGTGGACCATAATTGGCGCCGATGTGGATAGCTCTACGTACAGATCACTTTAAACGCTCACCGTCAGATCTTGCAAACTCAAGCGGTTGCTTTTGCCACCTGGCCCCTTCAAAATGGCTTCTGATTGGTTTAGGCAGGATCTGGTTCAAGTTGCCGCGCCAAATTTTGGACGTATTCACATTTTGTAATGGTGTGTCGTGTTTCTGTTTTTTCCGTGGCGTCATGACAGGCTGTTCAGACCACACATGTGAGAAGCTGAGTATGAGGCTGATGGTACAGACCGACTTGACACTTTTACCTCATTCTCTTTGCCTGTAAACCTTGAATAGGACCCCGTGTCAGACCGGTGCATACCGCTTCGTTGGTTACTGCAGCTTCCGTGAACCTGCTCTTACTCCTCGATACGTGCGGGAATGGAAACGCGCAGCCTTCGCTTCTCGAGTCATGATTGACCCATTCACTGATTCAACTTCAGCATGCTCCCGGCAGACTGCCGTGCAGTGTTCACTGTTCAGGAATCAGGATCCACTCCAGGCTACCAGCCTTTTGTATTCAGTGCGGTATCAATTCTATGTCAAGCTCACGGCTCACGGCTTGTTCGTTGTTTGCCCGGGTGACATATGGGGCTAGTTTGAACGTCAGCGGTAACTTGGGTGTGGCGCTCCCTGACAAAATCCGGCCAGCACGTTAAACCCGAGTTGTTAAGTAATGGTTTGATTAAAAGCCCGGGGAATCGAGGCTAAACTCGCGTAAAATTGAAAATTCCAATGTAGAATCTGGACTCGGCCAGCCTCTGCCGCTTGCGTGCTCAAAGGTTCGCCCCAGGTATTAATTTGGAGCATTGCATGATGGCTGAAGGCCGAGATTGAGGGATGCACAACAGCACAACAGCACAACGGCTTCAACTTGCAAGTTTCAAAGCGCAGGGTGCACCTTGGGATGGCGTAAAGTTGCAGCTTGCAAGAGGCATTGCTTGGTCCTTTTGGAGCTCCTCTGGATGTTAGGGGCAGCTAAGAACAAGGAGCTACAGAGAGCAGAAAAGCAGCAGGAGGGCTGAGTTACATGCAGTGCCTATAACGGTTGTACGCAACATTCAGACCAAAACAGGCTGGACACGTTGCTGTAGGCAGGGGTTTGGTTCGGGGAACAATCGTGAATCATTCTGGAGGAGGTCACATTTTGCATAGCGTGGGGAAGCAGATATAGGTTTATTGTATCGTCAAAGTTCTTCCAATTTCCATTCTTCACCCCACAATTCAAGTACAGAGTCTGCTTTTCAACTAGTGCACAAGGGATTCTTAAGCAGCAACCAAGTGCTACACAAGACGAAAGCTGCCGTAAATACCTTCGCCAAACCGTTCTGGAACACTCAGGTTGCACATTGCAAGCCAGGGCTGCACTCTAAAGCTCAAAGTCCAGGGGCAACCAAGTGATTGGGAGGTGACAGCATAGAAGCGCATGATGGACACTGACGGGCCTCCCAAGAGGGTGGTTCTGGCCCTGAGGGACACCAGTCAAGTCGAGAGTAGGGCGGCCCTTCATTGGGCCCTCAATACTTTGCCCGTACGCCCGGGCGTGGACTACGTGTTGCTCTTCCACGTGGTCAAGTGCATGAGGATCATTTCTGATGGAAGTAAGTGCGATGCTCGCAAAGGTTGCAGACTCCAGATATCTGAGTTCCTAGAGTCCCTCATAGCCTTCTGCGTTTTCTGTGCTGGAGGCCTCTTGTGTTTTGAGCCCCACGCTGAGGATTCTGGTCAGCACAGCATGTGGGAGTTTCGTCAATGTATGTGTTGACATTCTGGTCTTTTAAATGAAGTCACGGTGGACTGGACTGCAGCTTATTGGGTTTGCTGACTCTGCTATGCATTGCTGTCGCTTTTCAAGAACGTGCTCGTTGATTTGCTGATTCTTTCTCTGAGCTATAATGGAACTCCCTAGCTCAACTTCCAGAGTCGGTCCACTCCTTCAAGGAGTGAGATGATTGTTTGCAGTTCTTTCAAGGAGACAATTGTGCTTTGCATCGCCCTAGCATGGTGAAGGAAACTGGGTCTGGCTTGAGCAGGGTCACTGACATCGCTCGTCCTGAAGAGAAAATATAGGGTGAGGGTCCTGAGTGGTACCATGAGAGATAGTTGAATGATTGAGTGGGTGGTGAGCACTTAGTGCCCCATAGTCGCATTATGGTTCTGTATTCTAGTTATGTGCTTAACCATTTTTGTCCCCCAAATCTGCACTACAGTCTGGGCTTCGTGGTTGCCTCCTTGAAAATTGTGTCTAAAGGTCAAAGAAAAAAGCGGCAACTCATTCAGTGGCGAAGACCAGAGAACAAATGCTTCCTATCAGCTGGGGTCTGCCTGTGCGGCAAGGATTCGATGCTGCTCGACCGTCTTTTGATGAAAACGTGAAAACGTTTGGGTTCCTGTTGTGATTGAGTTGCTAGGACTGCGGATCCACCTTATGGTCACCTGATGGCGAGTCACTGTGGGGCACCAAAGCTAAGAACACTCTGTGTTAGGACACACTGGTCTGCGAAGCTTTAGGCTTCTTTTGACCTGCCACATTTTGATGTAGCAAATGTGTGACAGTAATAAGTGCGGCATATATTTCAGAAGTAGAAAAGAGGGGAAGCGTTTGAAAGAGTTGGGCTTCAATCCACAACCGCCGCCCATCGATGCAACATAAAAACCGGAAAAGATACGGCAGTGGATTGGAAAGGGGCACTGCAGTAGATTCTGCAAAGGGAAAAGCAACTAAAAGGTGTTTCCCTGCTTCTGCAAAATGATTGCACTTGCACCAAGTTCAATTAACTTCTCAGAAGCGTCACAATGTCTCAGCAATACCAGCGGGGAATCAACCTCATGACCAGCTCTACCAGAATCTCTGTGCAGCGCTCGCAGTCCTAGCTGTTTTTTGACCTACACTCTGCGAAGAGATACAAATATTGACCCTGTGAACCTCGTAACAGTTGTCCATCCCCTTCAGCTCTCGGCCATAGCCTCGTACGAGCCGAAACTTTTCCCCTAGCTCTCCCTCCTAGACTCACGGAATCTAGTTTATATAAACCCCTGCAGCTCTCGCTTCCTCCCTGTCTGGATTTGGTTCATCCCAGTCGCACAATAACCTCTCTCCTAACCCTTTCAATTCCTTTTTCCTAACCTGGGTAAACCTCCTCTCCTAATCCTGAATTCCTCCCCGCCTAACCCAGTCACACAGTCCTCCCTGCAGGACTGGGCCTTCCCTACGCCGCAGCCGGCCCGCACCTGCGGTCGAGCATCCGCCAGCTGGCGATGGTGGAAGGCGCGCGGGAGATGCACCACTACGTCCAAGTGTGCGCTCACAAATATGTAAGTTAGCCCTTCAATTATGTTTTGCGGATCCTTGTTAAGCACTCACAGGTCGGCTGTTGGTTGACAAGTCATTTGTTGGTTCTGTTGATTTTTTCAAGCGCTCATGATGTAGCTGACCCATTAGAGTTGGTTGAAGAATACACAGACTCTTCGGGGGCCCCTTCACAGGATCCAAACCCCACAAACTGGTTGGGTTTGGGTTCATTCTGCCCCGTCAAGTACACCTTCAACACAAGTAGTTTGCAGGATTTTGGTTCTTTGTGGCTCATTTGTTGGGCAACACGTTTTCAGTGCTCGTTGGGGACCATGAGCTTCGTAAATACAAACTCCTTGCTCAGTGCGATCAGCAGCTGTACTCTCAGTCAATTACCCGCTAACCACATTCGGTTAACCCCGCAGGTGCTGGCAGACGTTCAGCTGAGCTTTGGAGACCGGCTGCCGTCGATCGTACAAGCAGTAGAGGACTGCCAAGCGACGCACCTCATCATGGGCACACGCAAGACTCGGGGCCACCTGAAACAGTGAGTCAAATTACAGAGTTTTTGCCCTCTTTAGACTGATACTGTTTAAGATTCATTGAAGTTGCTGGGTCCCTGCTTGGAGTATCTAGAAACATACATTTTTTGTTAACCCAACTCCTGCTGACGGAGTCCCCCATGGGGTTTCGATCAGCGGATATGACGGGCAGGTATATCCGCTGATCAGGTATTGGAGTGAGTGATTATAGTTACTTCCCTGGATCTGATGAAACTTCCCTTTTCTGCAACACATGCCGTTTGACCACAAGCTTCCCCCCCTTCAGAGATTTTTGGTGGACACGATATTGGTTCATATTTTTGACATTGTTCATTAGTACTGCCAAGGCAGACTCGATGTCCAGGTCGCAAAAGCTGCCCGGTGCGCTGTGTATTCTGTAAGCAGGCAGGCGGAGAATTGCTTGACATTCGGACATGAGCACGCAAGCTAACTATTGTGATTGGAAACCCAGTTCTCTTGTAAAAGTCTTCTTGTCTTACCATGTATCCCACCTGTTCAATCTGAAAGTTCGCTCTTTCAGCGAACTTTTGTAACCTTCACCTTTGTAAAGTGCGAAGCGGAAAGCGTTTGGATCACCGATTGATGTTTTCTTTCTCTGCTGAACAGCTGGCTTCTTCGAAGAGCACCATCTTTCGGGGTTCTTAATAACAGTCTGTTCTTTAAAAATTCCACTCTCGAGTACATTGAACTGCTTTCGCATTTATCTGTGCAGTCTCTGGAAGGGCACCCTCACCAACCGCTCCTTTATAAAAGGAGTGCAGATGTAGAGGAGTTCGCTCAGAACATCAATTTGACGATAATTTTCCTCTGATATTCTGCGCAGTCTCTGGAAGGGCACCCTCACCGACCGCGTCGCCAAGGCTGTCCGCTGTTCTGTGTTCCTGGTCAACCGACGGGCGCAGTTGGAGACGACGCACGTGTACAACGGAGAGAGGGGCCTCGTGGGCACGCACTTGGACGGGTCGATGATTGTGCCCCCAGAAGCGAGCCCAAGGTGCCGTCTCATGATCACAAGGTGTGTGCTTCGCTCACAATTCAGAGTCTGCCTTTTGGCGATTTGCCATGTTTCAAGTCATTCTTTTGTGTTGTGGACCCAAGAATATCACAATCAATCCTAGCACAACCAATTCCCAAAGTTGCGAGTGACTGATGCATCTGAAATCTTTAAAGGTAGCAGTCCTGCCAAAGAACTCTACAGGGGGCAGCGAAAACAATCAGGAAGCCTGACAACTGTAAAATCAGACCAGAATCTGAAGAGCGGGGTCAAAGTATAGGACAGGGTGCATGATGAGACGGACGCACTTTGGAAACTGCGCAAATGTTTGAGGCACTTGCACCACGTGCTTCGAAAGTGCGAAAGCTCTGCTTGTACTTCCAACACTGTTACGAGAGGCTTACGGAATTTATCAGGAAGGGCTTCCACATACCCTGTCAAAGAAACGCAGGCAACGGACTGTTTGTTAGTCAAACGATTACCTACCTCTTCCATAGATGCATAGGGGTTCGTATTCTGACCTGGTCACTGGTAAACGCAGGTCGCGCGATGGGCCCACGTGGCAGCACCCCGGCGATGAGCTGTCCCCAGAAGCGATCACCGCCCGGGAGGACGCCGCTGCAAGGATCCAGTCCGAGGTGGACACCTGGAGGCGCAAGTGGGCGGCCACTCACAGTCTGCCACCTGGCAGCGCAGGGAGCAAAACTGGGGCGGTGGATGGGTCTAGAGAGCATGGCACAGACTGCGACAACGGGCAAACAGTTGAAGAGGAAACGCGTACAGCTGTTGCAAGCGATGGAACAGCTGGCAGTGGTGGGCCGACAGCTGGCGGCGGTAGTTTGACAGCTGGCGAAGCACAAGACCCGGGTCGGGCGATCCAGGCTGAGGGATCACTGGGGGGCAGTCAGAGATTTTGGGACGATGGGCTGGAAAGCGACGTGGAGGACGAGGAAGGCGTGCCATCGCTGTTCGTTTGCTGCATCAGCCAGGTGAGCGAATCAGCGCGCAAGTCACCCCGAGCAGAAGATTTTACTCGAGAGTTGCTTTGAGGCTTTGAGTGTGCACAGCGGCTTCGCGATTCTAGGGACGAGCAGAGGAAGTCGCGATGAAATGTGCAGATCAAGCTTTGGCGTCAGAGGTTCCTGAGGTGCTTCTCTCTTGTCTGGGGGCACAGACTTCCTTGCTCGGACAATTTTCATTCACGTTAGGTAAACGAATTTTCGCTGCTCTTGAGGAAAATGCTTCTGCACAATATGCCGCCCCTGGTGGTCTCTTTCTGGCCTAGCAGCAGACTGAGAACCCTCATTATCAAGCCTTCAACCGTCCCGTTAGGGTTGTTACATCGATCGGGTAGAATCTTGTTCGAAGAGCAATGTTTGTAGGAGTCCGCCTGTTGACGACCGTTCAATCTTGCAAACCACTTCTCAGATAAGGTAGTCAGTCTGCGCTTGGACGCTTGGGAAAGCGGAGCCGTCCGGGTCGAGAAAATCTGGTTTTTGGAGTCTCGGTCTCAAATGACATTTTGGTTGCAGGACATCATGTCCGACCCGGTGATTGCGGCGGATGGCAACACCTACGAGCGAACCCAAATTACGCAGTGGCTCAGGAGGAAAGCGACGTCACCTTTAACGAATCTGCCACTGTCTGATCGAGGCCTGATTCCTAACATTAGCCTCAAAGAGGCCATCAAGCAGTGGACGGAACACCGGCAGAGGTGCTTGCCTAGGGCTGGGGGATAATGTTGCGCTTTGCACCTTGGTGGGAAGTGGTGTTGGTGCAAGTGTTTTGTATGTGCTGATCAGCACGCTTGTAAATACCTAGTACATTTGAGACCAAACGGCCTCACCTACGATAGTTCCTAGGACGCCAACAGAGTGAGTTGCTGCCGGTTTTGCTCGTAATGAGTAGAACGAGTGGGATTGCGGTTTGCTTGTTGTCACAGCCCTACTGAGAAGTACCGCTGCCTGTTGAATAATCATTGAGGCAACAAGTTAGTGCATACAACGCTACAAGATTTCAGTAGGTGTTTTTAGCTCGATCAATCCAGGGATCATGTCTCTTCACGGAAGACTACGCTGCCTATATTTGCTCCTTGTCAGACTGAGAATTTGAGTAATCAGGCGCTTACAGAATTGTATACTGTTCGAGTCCATATCGTCCAATGCAGTGCATTGGATATGTTTCCCTAGCTGTAAATCTGCAGATTTGCGAGACTCTTTCTTGGGCTGAGGTGTCACAGCGACGCAAGATTGAAAGCGTTGTAATGCTGGCATGCAGGTTGTTTGTGACTCAGCTAGAACAGCCTGAGTCACGCCCGGTCCAGTTACGACATCACCATATTCTGCCGATCTTCAATTGTTGAGTTTGATGACAATTGCATTGCCTAGTCACATGTGGCCGTTCACCACATATCGGAACAATATTAAGGCATTATTGGATGAACTTTGGAAAGGTCAAACGTGTGCCCATATCAAGAATTCCGCCTCTAGGGTAATCATTCTAATTAGCATTGACTCGATTATATGCCTTCAATCACTTGACTAAGGGGCCTGTGACATGCGACAGCCCGGACGAAAGATGGTGCAGAATGATCTCCGGCACAGTACCAACGACCGGTTGAGTTGTGCTCACTTACTACTAACTCGAACTCCTATTATCCACAATTTCTTCTCTCACTTCTTTTCCTCTACCTTACCAGCGTTCAGCTTTCTCTGTCGTATATGGACTTTGACCGTGATTTCATTTGTGGGCCCAACATAACAGCTCGGCTTTCTTGCGTCCTCCCACGACATCTTGAGTGCATCGGCTCGACCATAACCCTCTCCCTCATTTTTGAGCTCGTATGCCGGTACGCTGTTTATGTTTTTCCAGTAGCCTGTCGGCCAAACGCGGACATACAATGCAAAATCCACCCTGGTTGGTGGCATTGTGCCCTCGTCCCCTGGCAATCCCCTCGATACCAAGAACATTCCAACAGTCGGCGGATCTTGCCTCGGATCCTTTTGTACGTCGATATGCCAACGCTTGCCGATACACACTGCACTTGGTGAGCTCTGACGAGCACCAGCCTCGTCTAGAGTAAAGTTGCACAAGATCTCGACTTGTCTGCCTTGACCACCAGTCCTTGGTTGGGTGGAAAGATCTTCCGACTTCAGCTTCTCAACATCCGAAAACGCCTGGAAGTAGAGCCCCGCCCTGACACGCTCCTGCGTTTCGGGAAGGGCCATCTCCGAAAGCGGTAGCACTGACCTCAGCAGAAACTCCCCCTTCATGAGGCCAAACCGCAGGTGCTGAGACAGTTCGTTCATGGCCCCTTGCCTCTGTGCCATTCCATCGAAGTTATTTCTGACCCAGACCAAAACCGCCGAGAATATCTCCTCCTCCGACGCGGCATCGAGCTCCTCGGACTGTAACAAGGAGCTGACCACGTTCTGTCCTAGTGTCAGGAACTCGAGCGACTCGGACCAGGTTTCCACGTCTTGGAAGGTATCCACAACATGCGCACGCGCCTTGGAAACCAACGCCTTGATCTCTGGGTATAGCTCTAGGGCGTCCGGAACTTCTAGTGCCAGAACGACGTCGTCCGAAACTGTCCGTTTGCGGTTGGTCACCGCCGTAAGAACGGCCCCCATCAGAGACCCGACCCCGAATTTGTCACCCACGATGAGCAGGTCTACCAGGGCGCGAATGCTGGCGTCCGGTTGCAGGAATGCGGGGGACAGACTGCCGACGTAGATGAATTGGAGCAGCTCCTTGAAAGCCAACTTTTCTGCAGAACCGGAGGACGGATCTGTTTCCCTATTAGTGATCCTTGAAACTAGGGTGATAGAAGGCGCGGATCATAGACTGTTCCGAACATTATCCTAGGGCAGAGCGGACGTCTGAATTGGATAATTACGTACAATCTCTTGAACATGCAGCCGTAAAGCAGTCTTTGCCCAAGACTAACAAATCGGAAGCTGACGTAGTCAGAACCGGAACAGATGATTGCACTAAATAGTTCTGACCGTCTGTTGTCACCCTCCGAGCTTCCAGAGCCTTTTGCATCAAACATTAGTCTTCAGTGCTCACTCCCTTCTTTCTAGGTGCAAACGTTGACTCTAAAAGCCCAAAGCGTGATGCAATTCAGAAACAGAACCTAGCTTCCGCAGTAACAGATCATGGCACCCCGATCTTTCCTTCCCATTTCGCCCACAAGCCAGCAAGACCTCCTCCGGCAAGAAGAAGACTGGCTGATACACCTCGCAAGTACTTCATGCACCTTGCAACCATCCTATGCACTTCAAACACACCCTGAAAGCACAGCTCGCTCAAATCACGAAGGCATCACCACAGTCTCACCCTCAGGCGTAACCTTGAGCACCACCGGCGCGCTCTTGTCCGACTCCTTCATCCCATTGGACAGCATCGTCCGAAGCACGCAGCTCTTGGCGGCGAGCACGATCGAGTTCACTGGGATCTCCTCCACCCACGCCTCTTCCTCTTCTGAGGCCGCTCGACCCTCCTCTGAGTCTCCTGCCTCGTTCTCGAGGATCCCTAGGGCCTCTTCGTAATTTTCCTCCTCTCCTGGCTGCTCTTCCGAGCTCCCTGATCCGGCCTCCTCTTTCTCTGAAGCCTCCTCTTCTCCTTTCTCGACCCCGGTCTTCACCTCTGCTTCCTGAGCTTTCTCCATAAACTCCTCCGAGTCCCCCTGCCGCGTCCCAGTGTCCTTCTTTGATCCTTCGACTGCCTCTCCCAGGGGGTTGGAGGCCTCCTCTGAAGCTCCGCCCTTGTCCTCAGGAACCCCGGCCGCTGATCGGTCCCTATTCTCGTTCACCTTGACAGCCTTCCATGTCAGAAACCTCGTCGCTTCTCGATCCATGAACTGCACGAAAAGGAACGCACTGTTAGACTTCTGGTTCTGCAACATCGTGGGAATTCGAAATTGAGAATCGAAAAGGCGGACCATCATTGTTAACAGGCCAGTTTCTGAACATTTCGTTTGCGAGAGCAGTGTAATCGCTCTCGCCTCTTTCTTGTTCAGATTGCATGTCCCCTGGACTGTTGTGGGAGTGCGCTAAAACTAGGGCCACAAACAATCCCAAGACGCCTCAAAGGAATCATGGCACGACTGTGAGATGTTTGTTTTCTGCGTTTACAAGCCGGTTCGAGTTTTCGAGAGTATTTGTTTGGGCACAATGATAAGGAAATGTATCTTGCTAATGTTGAATCTCACACTCTTATTCTTCCAGGAATGAGAATTATACATCCTGTGGATGCTGCTGGTTCCACTGCATGCTGACGGCATGAGCACAATAGAGCAAGCAACATGGTCTGAACCTTCCGTGAGTTATTCCTTGTTATGTCTGCAGTGAGAAAGTGTCAGAGAATGGGGGATGATGAGAGTTGATTAGAGTGAAGCAAGAGACATTTAATGGCTACGTGGCTTACTCTTCCTACACTCTTCCAGAATCTCCAGCCGAATGCTTCGGTCGCAAAACTCTACTTTCCTGCAAGAAGCAGAAATACACACTATCAGGTCAATGCTATGGATACTCTTGCAGCCAACGAGAAGATAGCAATCAAAGTCTTCCAGTCTTAGTGTTGCCAAGTATACTCCTGTGCAAGTCCACTAAATTGATGCAGGTGCATTGAAGAAGTACATAGGTTCTATCGATGAAGATAGTCTAAGCTAAAGCCAGCGAGCCTTTGATCAGACGATGTGCAGGACAGTTTGCAGTCCTTCCAGAGTCTCATGTCCTGATGCCACCCTCAAGTCCGGGCTCTCTTAGAAGCATTCTGCACAGACTTTTCTGCAATATCGATCAGAAGCTGTATGATTGCTACAATCACTTTCAAGGTCACCAACTTGGAAACTTTACTAAAGGCAACGACCAGTGTTTGACAGTAGCTGTGGTTGCGGACGCCAGAACTCTGCTCACTTGTAGAATGCGATGAAGTCAAAGAAGTGCGCATCCTCGTCCAGTTTCATGGGCCGCCACGAGGGGGCCCCCTCGCTGGTCTCCATGGTCCAATCTAGATGCCAGCCCTTGTTTCCTACTCGGAACAGGCGCCAAAAGGAAAAGGAGTCCCAGCAATGCAGTTGCTTCTCTCTTGGACTAGCACGCTGCTGTGACTAAATGCAGCACTGCCCGTGCTGTTTAGTCGAGCGACAATGTCATTCCATGGATCAGAAACCAGCTTTTTCGGGGAAATGAGAACCCGGGAATAACACAGCAAAGAGCAACAAAAGGGCGCCAGTTCTCCCGTGCTTCTGCCACTGCTGGACCTTGCCGAATTGCTTGTCCAGGACCTGAATTTGCGCCCTCAATCTGCAGCACAAGCCTTGACATGTCAAGGGCCACCGCACTTGATCAACAAGCACGGGTCGACAACATATTTTCAGCCACTTAGGTAATTCAGAAAATGGATCTACCGTATTTGGTGACAACCTGCGCAGACGACAAAACTGCCGTGCATTCAAAACGGTACATGTGAGTTCAAGTGTGATCAGACGCCTAGGACGTTCGGGTGCCGTTCAGGAAACCGTTGTGTTTGCTGCGTTTCGCGCCTTCTGATTTGAAAAAATTGGAAGTAAATTGCGCGGATATTCGCGAGTTTTCTGATTGTCCAGCTACTGTAGCAGCGAACAAAGGTCCAGGCAGGAAGGTAGGGACAGCATGCATTGGAAGGCGGACCAGCTAGCAACGGGAACAGCTAGGTATCTCCAGGTTCCTTGAGAGGATGTACCCTAGGGCCTAGGTGTTTCAGCCGCTTGGAAAATTAGCCAAACCGCTATCGATTTGAAAGAGGCTTGGCACAGCGACCGTTTACGGCTTGGCACAGGGAGCGGACGTCGTAACGGCATCCTCTATCAGCAACTTCTCAGCGGGGGCATCTTCTTTGCCCCCGCTGCCAGAGAAGAAGCCCTAAACCCGTGCATCTATAGACCGATCTGAGCAGCATCAAGCACAGGCTGGCTCAATGTACCCTGAGCTTTGACTTCAATAAGGAGGAGCTCATGACTTCCTCAGTAGCCAGCGGTCTCTCTGCGGTGTAGTTTATGACCAGACCAGATGTTGGAAGCAGGAGCCTCTCTGAGCAGCCTGCCAGGATGTGAGGAGCATGAGAGGTTCCTTGTGGAGCCGGCAAACCCTGGTTGTGGGCTACCCATTGTAAGTCCTGTGAGACTCAATCTCTTCAAGGTCTCCGATACGGCTTCACTTCTTATGTCGTTTGCGCTGCCTGAACCACATCTGTCTTGCACCTGATTTGATTCTCTCCAGCCGTCAGCTTTTGCCCCGCTTTTTCGAAGGGAGGGATTTCAAAGCCCAGAGCATCAGCCTTGTACACCTCTGCTCTTTACGTTTCTGCATGCAGTTCGGACGCTTGATTGAAGGAAACGTAATCTGAGGTTAACCTTTTGACTTGTTGTCCACTTTAAAAACTCTTTCTCAACATCCCCTGAATACAAGTCGTTCCGGACGACCGGTCCTCGGACCACAGGCCCAGCAGGCCACCGCAAGCGTTGCCTTACTACTCTCCACATCAACCTTGAGGGGGAGCCTTCAAACGCACTCTATGATACCATTTTCTCTTTCTACACAGCCAGCTTGTAACCACCCGTTCTCCACTTTTTGCAGGAGGTTGGTGCTTCCCCAATCGTCCTCGGCCGCCAGCACTGCTGGACGTCCAAAGCGCGCGAGAAGAAATGCAGCAGGAGGCAGGCGGTGCTGTCCGTTAGCCGAGGCCGCCTCCACATCGAGTGCGCCGGGCAGAACCCAGTGCACATCACCAAAAGGACTGCAAGCGTCCTGGGACAAGAGGTGCGGGTTTCTGGGATGGTACTCGTTGGTTCCCGCGCTTTTATAGCGCCTTCCAGAGATGGGTTGACTGGGCTCTGAACAACGAAGGAGGCAGACGGTGTCGCTTGACACAAATTACTTTCATGGCTGCATACCGCCGCACGTTTTGAAAGACATGTTTGAACATCAAGTCTCAATCAGGGACTCAAGTTTCCAGACGGTTGATGCACCAGCCCACGCGCTTCTCCGGCAGAGTCTCCTGAAACCTTTACTCTCTCTTGATACACCTGACTAGAAGGTAAAAATGAGCGGCAAACGTAGGAGAGTGTCAGTGCCCAAGTCAATGATTGGGAAGTCAAATATGCGGAGCCTTCAGCAACTTGTGTAGCCCCCAACCAGGTTCCAACAGCTGGCCAGTGATTGACGACTTTGATTGCCACTGACACAACCTATATCTTCTGCAGGGGCAAAGAACTTTCCGCTTGAAGACTGGGCAATGCCAGGAGCTTTTACCCGGGGACTGCTTCGCCCTCGTCGCGGGGGGGTGCCTCCTCAGAGTCGTCCAGCAACGTCCAAACCGAGTTCCGGTCAGGGGTCCAAATGCACATCCGGACGCAGGACGCTCTGACGAGCCACTGCGCGAGAGGTGCCCACATGAGGAAATCGGACTGGGGTGTCCGAACGGGGTGCTTGATGGGGGGTGTCCGAATGGAGTATTCAACGGGGTGTGTCCGAACGGGATACTGGCAGGGGGGTGTCCGAACGGGGTAGTGGATACGGTGTATTCGGTTGGCGCGCGGGCGGGGGATGGTCGGGAGCTTTGCGACTCGAGGTCTCCGGCCACCCTCCGCTCTGAGGGGTCGAAGCGCGTGCTTGCAGCGGCCCGGGAAGCAGCGGGGTGCGTGGAGAGAGAGGCCCGCTGCTCTGGGGGGGTAAGCGGAAACGATGCGGAACCGGCGCCGGCCGGCAAGGAAACAGTTTTTGGGGGGGTGGGGGAGGTTGACGGAAGGGCGACGAAAGGGCTCGACGAGGAACGTTCAGCAGCTTCAGAGTCGCCCCCGGCCAGAAAGGTCGGTACGAGAGGTCGGGAGGTCGTACCAGGCACCCCGGAGGACTCAGAAGAGGCGGCTCTTGGGCGTGCGATTGGGCGGGGAAGCCAGCGGCGGAGTGGGACACAAGTTGCCCGGGCACTTCGACCGAGCATTGACCAGCAAGGACCGTGCGAGGCTTCCATCCCGGGGCACAATGAACCGAGCGGACGTCCGCCCGAAAACGCAATTCCGACGCAGGGAACGGCGAAGGAGTTTCTCGGGAAACGATTGGGCGCTGATGCGGGGCTGGCTGCAGTGAACAGTGCCCCTCAGCAGAATCTTCCGGGCGCTGACCAGGCTTTCGCTGAACAACCTGCCCCTCTAACTAGAAGCCCGCAAAGCCTGGAGGAGAACCGCTGCTCTGTCCCTGGTGCTCGGGAAGATTCGACGGATTGCAAAGCGGAGGATGAGCCGCCAGTTTTGCCCGATAGTCGGCTTTCACCCCCCTGCGCGAAGAATCCCCAGGAGAGGTCGCTTCTCAAGGAAGTGGCAAAAAGCAGCCCGGTTGGCAAGGCGGCCGACCGGTGGGAGGAGCTGGCGAACTACGAGATCGAAGAGACGCCTCCCTCAATGTCTTCCCCGCCGGAACCGGGTCCCGCTAAAGATTCCGCAAATGTTGCGGAAAGTTCGCCTTCTTCAGAAAGGTCTAGGGGTTCTCTGAGGAGGGAAAGGGATCCCGGAGGGCTGGCTGCAAGAGCGGACGGATTGCCGACGGCAAGTTTCGGGGTGGTGGATATGGAAGAAGAAAGGCGACCGCAAAAGGAAAGAAGGAAGCGATGGTCGCCCCCTCCTCCCCCGTCGTCGGATTACGAGGAAAGTGACCCGTCGCTGGAGGGCCGCGGACTTCGGACAGAACGGACGGAGAGGATCTACGGGGCGACGCAGGATGGGGCTTTCGGATCTGCGGGAATGGGGCAGGAGGGAGGAGGAAAGACGCATTTGCGAGAGGGTAGTGCAAGCAGGCATCGTCGAAATAACGCCCGGCGCTCCAAAAGGGAAGCCTCCTTTGGGTCCGCATCGGATTTGGACGGTTCGGAAGAAGGGTCCGGAGAGCGTCACGGTCCGAATGATCGGATGTGCCCAACTCCAACTTGGAAGAAACGTGCCCCAGAACTGTCCTTTTCAGATTCGGAGTCTTCGGATGAAAGTTTGGGGGCGGGGCTTGCTTCTCCAGGGGGCAGAAGCACGGGTGAGGAGGAGCCCCCCGAATCGAAGGAGAGCCTAAAGCAGTCGAGTTCGCTAGAGAAAGCGGCGGGGCGGCGGTTGAGGAAAGTCGGAGGGGGGCAGCCCATTCCGGGGCACTGCACGCTTCCGCTCTTCTCAAGAGCCCAACCGGAAAGAGAACGGTCGGGGCACCGGAATAGCCCCTCGGAGCAAGACGGCGACGTCCTGGGGGGGTCTTTTGAGGAGTACACCGAGGGGGGGTCACCCGGGTGGGAACCCCGGGGCGGGTCGGTTGGTGAAGAGGACCTAAGGGAACGTCCGCATCGGCGTGACGGGCAGGAGGGCAGCGTCAGCTCGAGAGAAACCAATCCAGGGGGTTCGGATCGCCTGGGCAGGGAACCCCCCGGGGCCCGGCAGCTCTGTGACCTGTGCGTTTCGTCGACGAACTACCGGGGCGAAGATAAGCTGCGGCTGAAGCGCATGATTACGGAGCTGGGTATGAAATACACGGACGATTTCGGGCGGGGTAATACGCACCTGGTGTGCTGGAGTTTCGAGGGGGGGAAGTTCGAGAAAGCGAAATACTGGGGGATCCCCCAGGTGAACCACCGGTGGGTGGAGGACTGCGCGTGGCGGCGGGAGGTGGTGCCGGTAGACGACTACTGCGACAAAGCGTGAGTGGACACGTGGTGCTCTACGGAAGCTTTAGACCGTCAACAGCTTGTGGGGAAAATGCTAGTCCCCAAAATGGCAGCGTTGAGATCTGATGCCGTGGCAAATGAGGAAAACAAGGAGAAAGCGTTTTTTCAGTGCCTCTTCTTCGCAGTCACGTTTGATGCCACATGCAAAGAGATACCGTCGCAAAATTGTCAGCTTCTACAAACTTGTAAGTGCGGGCTCAAACATTGAGCTTCAGGAAGGGAAAAGTTTGCTGACGTCAGACTAAAGTCTTACGAAACGACTTTCGATCAAAACAGCCTGGATCTCCCGCTTAAACTCAGAAAAGCGACAAGTACAAGAGATGCATTAAAATCAACCACATTCTTTGCTCAAGTTCAGATTCTTGTTCTTTTGAGTTTGCTCGGCTTTTCGTCAGGTGATGTTTGGCTGTTCTTCTTTTGTGCTGGCCTTTTGCTACTTGCCGTTGCTTTTCGGCGAAGCATCAACCGCCCGACTTGCTTCTGGTGGCTTTCAGTCAATCGGAACCCTCTCCGTCCTTATGCACGCGCCTCAAATTATGCATCTTTTGTCATGATTCCCTACAGCGGAGAGGATGTCGGGCCCCTCCCTGAGACGCAGCCCTCGCTCTCTCCCTCCCAGCCATACATTTCATCACCCCCTCTCCCATCTCAACCGGGCCCTAATGCCCCAGCCAATGACGGCGTGCCAGCTGGCGAGCAAAGAGCCGCCGGCGAGCAGCCGGCTAGATTGTCGGACGATGACGGGGAACTGGACGGTTCAGAAACGGACGGTGACGGACGGGCCAGAGGGCTCGAGACGTCCGAAAGCGAAGGGGGAAGCGATCTTTTCAGGGGGGGTGCCGCTAGACCCGCCAGGCCCTGGGCGCCCCCCTCGCCGCCCCCCCTGGAAGAAAGTCTGCTGGATTTCGAGGAGTGGAAGCGGCGGAACGTGGCGAAGAGTGAGGGGCGGGGACCGCTCTTGGGGAGCGGAGTCCGGCGGAACGAAAGGGAAGCGAAGGGGAGTGATGAAGCTCGGAGGTTTGATTTGTTGGTGGGAGATGAAGGAGAGTCGGACGAGGATGTGATTGAGGAGACTGGGAGACTTGGGGCCAGGAGAGAAAGAGGGAGTCGAAAGCGGGGGACTCCTAGACGCTCCGAACCCGGAGGGCGCGAGGAGGACGAGCGGGGGAAGCGGAAGAGGTTCCGGAAGAGCAGCCTCTCGGAACAGCTGTGCTCGAGCTCCGGTTCCGGAGACAGCGAGCGGAACGAGTACGATCCGGACCGGAACGGGGGCTTCGGAGCGGAAGGCCCGAGGCCGGGTGCGTTTAGCGTTGGGAGAATGGTGTATGAGGAGAGGAACCGCGATGGGGGGTTGGATCTAGAGGAAGAAGAGGACTGTGTTGAAGTGCCAGGGGGCGAAAGAAGGAGGCCCCTCAAACGGCTGAAAAAGCTGAAGCTCACGAAAGAAGAGAAGCGGAAAGAAGGAAATCTGCAAGGGGGCAGGGGAGGGGGGTCACGACCGGGGGAAAACAATCGAAGGCAGGGAGCAGCGGCGACGGGCTGGAAAGAGTTCGATCCGAAAGATTGGGTCGACTGGAACAGCGGCGAGAGGCCTCAGGAAGTGAGCGGGCAGAATTTGAGAGAGGCTGGATATGGCATTGTAGATGAACGGGGGGGGGGAAGTGGAGGTGGCGGGGTTGAACGACCGGAGCAGAGGAGCTCACATCTAGACTGGCCAGGTGGGGTGTTTGCTGCTGAAGGGAATTTTGAAGGTCTGGGTATGACGCAAGAAAACGGTCGAGCTTTCGGGGGGGCCAATTTGATACGGGGAGAGAACCCAGAGGCGGCACGGGGCCAGTTTGGAGTAACTGGCGTTGAAGCAGGGGGTAGAACCACGGAACAAAGACCGGTGTCTGGGGGACACGTGTCACACTCCCAGCAATGGGAAGGTGACGTCAACCTTGCCAGCCTCCCCTCCAGCGAGCACCCACTGCATCTACCGAGAGCGGCTGAGACTGCGCGGGAGCCGTCCGATCGTTCGGATCGACGGCCGCGAACGTCCGACGGACACGCTTCGCAGCCGGCTGTCAAACAGCGCACGCTCGACAACGTCTGGGCGAAAGCGGGGGCGAGCTTGCGGGACGACCGACCCCCCCGGAAGAAGCGCCGCGGTGCGCCGGAGGGTTTCGCGGGCGCGGCCGCGTCGGCTCGGCACGCGCAGGCCACAGGCGGAGTGACACGTGTCAACCATGCGGATATGACACGTGGCAATTACTTGAAGACGCCACCTGGCAGCACGACGCCTGTCCCCGTTAGGACGCCGCAGCAGGAGCAGAACGGGATAGCGAGGAAGTTGGCGTTGTTGTCGCCGGGCGGGGAGGTCGCGTGCGCGATCTGCTGGGAGGCTCGCGCGAGCGCGGAGCAGGGGGTACTGCCGTGCGGGCACGGGTTCTGCTACCACTGCGTCATGAAGTGGGCCAAGGTGGGGACTTTGACGGCTTTTCTTTTAATCCAAAAGTATCGCCTTTGGTATGTACTCCAGGGGAGACCATTCTTTTTCAGTCTGTGTCTCCGTCGGCTTTGCTTCAATTTCTTTTGCCCGCGTTCCATTCGAGTCTGCGTTTCGGCACTACTTGTTTCCTGGCTTGGCAGCAGGTTCCTGCGCCGCTGATTCTTGTGCCAACAAGATTGATCGACCCGTTAGCAAGATTTCACATGCCGAGACTTCGTCAGGACCATTCTGCAGGCAGCAACCGTTGACTTAAAAGCAGCTGCTTTGCGGTCGCCAATCTTCGGATAATCAAACCGTCCGAACCGCGCTGCCTCGCAGGAGGAAGTGAACGTGGACGTGAACGGGAAACCGACGCTGCTTTCCAAGTGGAAGGCGGAGGCGAAGTGTCCGCTGTGCAAAATGCCGTACGACTTCGTAACCAAGCGCCACGCGCCCGACAGCGAGGGCGTCACTTTGGAGGACGAAGTTGTGCAGCTCCCAGCGGGGACGTTCGCGGATCTAGGGGTGAGGAAATTCTATTCGGATATTAGCTTTGCATAAAAACGAGACACTCGAGTTGGAGTCAGGGTGTCAATTGGGTGTCCACTGATTGGAGAGACGCGGCCGGAAGAGGGTTTGAGTACAAGCGGGTCGTGTTAGCACACAAAGGGATCTACGAGGCAGTCGTCCAGGGACATTCATGATATCCAAAGATTAGCCTCCAGTTGTCTACTAAGTCGATTGCTTCGGATCTCCTAAGCCCTGGGACTCCTAAACCTCCAATAAACCTATTGGCCGTGATCTTCTGCCTTACGAAAATGCTGGTAATGGCAATCAAAGACACGCGGAACTGCGCAGCTCGCACCACAGAGACAGTAGGTGGACGGTCAAACCCTTTCAGTCGCATTCTTTGGTCCTAGGAAGAACGCACTGAAGCAAGCAAAGTACCCTTCCTTACCTTAAACGCCCCCCATTTGTTTCTTGCAGGGGTTCGCTCCTGTGAGCGCCCCACCTTCCGCAGGCATGTCCGAGCAGCGCCCGGTGCCCCGAGCACCGGGCGCTTACGCCCGAGGAAACCGCGGCCGGGGCATCTCCAGGGGTCCAAGCGGACCAAGGGTCCGCACGGACGGAAACGGCACAGAGCGCGCGCGCGTGGGCGCTCCGGCCGCGGGTATGGACCCGTGGTTCGGGCGCTTCTTGGCGGGGCAACAGACGGGAGCCCAGCGGGGGGCTCAGAGTCTGCGGCGGACCTTGCCGCACGCAGGACCGGGGTAGACCGGAAAGTAGCGGCAATAGCGCTACGAGAGAGTCCCGGAACGCGGTAACAATTCGGTGCAACGTTGTCAGTAATTCAGGTCAACGATGTTGCCGATCGGAGTTTGGCAGTATGATGTCTCTTCTCTTGTCTCGATTCGGATCGGCGCATGACAAGCCCTTCTGCAAACCTCCGTGCGTCCGCAAGCCCAAGTCTGGCCACAAGCGTGACTAAACTCCTGAGCAAGCTCGTTAATTCAAGCGATCGTGAAGTACCTTATTCGTCTCAGACATTCCTTCGCCTTACTGATATGACGAGCTGTAATGCTTTGCATCCTGGTTTAACGAGTTTGAGTGAGCTGTTCCAATCGTGAATACAATTATTGCATGCAGTCCGACCGTCTGTGACCACTCTCAACACATGCATTGAGCCCATGGTCACCGTTGTCTGGTTTGAGCCTATACACATGACAGTCAGATGGCAGTAATGGGAGCTACCGCAAGGATACAATTAAGAAGCAAAGGGTGCCGCATAAGCCTGATCTGATCCTACTTAACCATTTAATCACTCCGCTATATACGCGCATTCATATGATCAATCGGTGCGCCGGGATTCAATGATCTATGCCCTGAGCGCGCGCGGATACATGTGCAGATTTGTCTAATGCTTTGCATGATTGGATTACGGTACTCTGTACGGTACCGCTTAGGTATGCAAAGCGACGCACCGTGCGTCTATACAGCCTTCACGTACTGCCTGAGCGCGCTGCCTGGCACGTGACTGACTACTTACCGGGCCACTGACTGCGTGGACTCAGCCGACTAAGCTGGCCGAACAGTCGCCTATTGAAGGCCGCGGCCGCGGCCGCGTCCAGGCGGGCCGCCCGCGGGGCCGCACCCCTTGTCTCACGCGCACCAGCCGCGGCCATGAGGTTCGAAATGCCGCTGCGCGCAGTCGCGGCCGCCCGGCTCCCGCTATGGTGTGCCGAGGACAAGCCAAATCAATGTAGGTATTCAGTATTGAGCGGACCAATTTCCGAGCTGAAAAGTTAGACTGAGCGTTTACTTGTTCAGAACGTTCGCGTATTGGTTAGCATCAGGACCATCACGATTAGTCGCCATGGTAACAGGCTTCCTACGCGAATGAAGGGCAACTCGCGTTGGCACCCCTTGGACTCGGCGCTCCTAGGAAGCTGGAGCCTTGCAGCCGAGTACAACCGCCTGGAGGCGACCTTAAATGACGAATATGAACAGATTGCTGCTGCCGCAAATATCGCAGCCAGAGACGTGCAAGTTGCCCAGGACAGGGGAGCTTCAGAGTCTCAAGTTGTAGTGCTTGTGGAGCGCCATCAGTCAACCCTAGCGGCGCTGGAGCTCAAGAGGGAAGAGTGCGCCGGAGCGCAAGCAGAGTGGCTTCGTCAGGAGAATAGGCAAGCGGAGTCTGACCAGCAGAGCTTGGAAAGCTGGGTTAAGCAAGGAAGGTGCTGCGAGCTTCCAGTAAGGGTATGCAAGTCTACCATTAGCTCCCTGTTAAACAAACGCATCCATCTCAACCTCTTCGTTAAACAAGCACAGGCTGAAGGTCTAATGGAAGGTTCACAAGGATACTAACCTGTTCCAAATCCAAACGGTCTTCATAGGGCAAAGGGACTAGAAGTCACTGCGCTTTACTTCGGTCTTTTGCAGGATGCGTCTAAGCTGTCAACACCATGTCTTTAGCTGTTATGATGGTCCTCACACTTTTCACAAAGATAGTGCTCAAACAGCAATTGAATTTGCGCATTTCGATGGCCAACCTGCCAATGATAGCAAGCCTGGTACGTCAGTTATTGGTGCTATGATTAACAACCTACAGGACCTGCCCCGAAAGCATCCGTTGCGACGTCAAACAGTATCTGAGAACAGTTGCATGGCATGGACGGCTCTAATCGCTTACTTCATCTATGCATCTTCCGGGAGCTTTTAGGCTATCGATGATGTAAGTTGAAGGCGGCGCAGATTAGATTAATAAATAAGTTGTCATATCCAGTATGAACTGCCGGACAATCCCGGACAAGAGATTACGATATTGGCCCGCCTGCAGGGACACAAGAAAGTCGATCTTCCAAAGACGGCAATGTACGACTGCCGTGAACTATGGTTTAGCGACCTGCAACAACCCTGCGTTAGTGACTTAGTGACGACTGTTGGATGGCGACCGCGGCCGCGCTCGCAATCACCGCGTCGGTAAAACCCTGAAGTTTGCGAGACACGGGAACTTTCGACGTAGCAGAGAAGGGGCCCAGCTGTTTCAGCCCGTCAGATCAGCTTATGCACGACATCATTTACGAAATTACTGAATTTTGTGCAAGAAGGCTGAACAAAACAAGCAGGGTCCCTCCTCCTGACTCTTTCACGTGCTGATCGGACCTCAGCAACTATGAAGCCACTAACAAAAGAAAGGCCGGTGTAGAGGACGTTGCTGCTGGTGCCAGGATATGCGCAGATCAGCTGCTTTCGTATTCCGGTCGTGAAATCTTGCGAACAAAACTACGATGGCTCATTCGAAAGCCAGCATATATAACCAGTCTATCCAGAGGGTCTCCGAATCTCATGAGCTCAGGCGCCGAAGCACTTTGTGCTAGGCTTCAAAGCTGATCACAGGCGCGCAATTCAAGCTGAGACTCTCTGAAGATTGATAACAGATTTTTAGGCTCCATCTTTGGTTGACAGTCGAAGCTCTAGTCTTCCCCAACATGGTGGAAGAAGACTGTTCAAAATGTCCCGGGGCCGTCTCGACGTTAGGGGACGCCCTCGACGAAGAGGGCCACTACTTTGACTTCATCAAGTTCTACAAGTGAGCTCCCAGGCCAGCAGATCTTACGAACCAAGACTTTTGCCAAGTGGCTTTGTTCAAGCCTTGGAAGTCTTTTTCCCTTGTTCTTGAAAGGAAGTGAGAAAGGGTATCTGATAGCAAAGGATCCTGCATTTTATCTCTAGCTTTTTGCTGTTGCCACGCCCTGGTCAAACAAGGACGGCTGATGTAATTGTCCATGCAAAAGATGCACAGCGTTTGAGGTTGCAAGAGTCTTTCGAAAAGCCTATATTTCACCTGTTGATCTCATGATCTCATCCACATTTCCACGTTTGTCATGACCAATGTTTTACCCAAGAGCATGCATGCAAAACCTCATAAGCTGAAAAGTGTTCGTTCACGAGGGTTTGCTCTGGAAGCACAGAAGGCAGTGGCAATATTATTTTACACGCGATTCTTGGCATCTGTAGGAAGGTCGAGTTCTGCGACCGGAGCCTTCGCTTAGAGATCCTGAAGGAAACCAGAAAAGGTGAGCCGCTTTGCTTTTGCTGCTCCAGGAAACGAAATGCGAGCAGTATCCATCTGAAGAAGCACATTCTCGGCATTCAAAGTAATTCATTCGGAACAAAATGAACAGATCCTATTGAATTTCAAAAAAAGATACCTGGTTCTGAGGTTCACCGCTGAAGTGCAGTGAGTTTTGTTCTTCCCCTGAGGGGTCTTTATACGCAGCCTTACTGAATGAGCACTAGTGTAATACTCTTGCAAAACCCCTCTCGTTTAAGAGATTCTGATAACAGGCAGTTTAGTGAAGCTTAGTGATTCACTAAACTTGGTTTTTTGCGTTCATCCGATCAGGACCTACGTCCGCCAACGACGAGGAGCTCCCCATCAATTCGATCGTCGTCGCCGCGAAGAGCGTCGTGCTACAAAAGATGCTGTCCACAGGAATGAAAGAAGCAAACAAAAGCGCGCCTGTTGTCATCAAAGTCACGGCCGAAGGTAAAGCAAGGCTCCAAAGTGCTTCCGTTGGAATAAAATTCCTCCTGTTCCGTTTTTGTTGCCAGCTTTCTGCTTTCTGTCGGGACTTCAGGTTGGTCAGAAACTTCGATCTTCCTTAGAAAGGTGACCATCAGACCTCGTTGAACTATCGTAAAGAAGACTCGAGAGAAACCGCTGTCTGTACCAAAACATAGTAAGCTGTGAACTGTTGGTTCTTTCGACAAATTACTCTTTCAAGAGCAGATTGCTGCGAGCACTTGTTACCTTCTGCCAACCTTCTGCAAAGGTGAATCACATTCTCTGCTTACCTTGTGCTGTTCGCAAGAACCAGACTAGAGCTTTCAAGAAGTGCGACGCGAACGCTCCCTGAGATCTTGCAGCCTTTTTCAACGTTGAAGATCCTGAAGGCACACAAGCAGAAAGAAATAGTTCATCAACCAACATCAGCAACTTCCTCTCTCCTCGCAGAAAAGACGGCATTCAAAGAGATGCTTCACTTCCTCTACGCGGGCAGCCTTTCCCCGCGCCTTCTCGAGGCGACCATTGATGTGCGCGAGCTCGTGGCGCTGCTCGTGCTGGGCGACAAGTTCGAAGTCCCATCCCTTATGGGCACTGTGGTCAGATGTATAAGCACCCGCCGGAAGTGTATTCCTGACAGCACAGTGCTCGCGACCGAGATCCCAGACACGCGCCTTCAACTTCGGCAAGTCAAGAAACTGGCGGACGACGCGCGCGCGCATGTCGTCGAAACGTACGCTGACGTCAGCGGCACGTGGGAGTCTGAAGCGTTCATGAGCCTGAGCCTGGAGGTGATTGAGATCCTCATGCAAGCTGAGGAGCTCGAGGCGGAGAATGAGGAGGAGATTGTCGAGAAACTTCTAGGCTGGATTCGGGGAAAGTATGACGCCCTGAGTGCGCGGCGACGGGTGGTCAGGGATTTGACGCCCCACATTCGGTTCTTCTCCCTTACCGGAGAGGCCCTGGAAAGGTTCCTGTCAACACCAGAGATGCAATCGAAAGGTAACTCAAAGTCTGATCAAAGAGGCCGTCAGGTTCCAATCTTATTCGGACAGCAGAAAAGCGGAGCTCAAAGCCCCGGTGTGTCAGAGGAAGGGAGTCCGCGACGTTCACCTGGAGATTGTCAGCGACTATGTTCTTGACGAGAAACGAACATCGGTAAAATCGCGGTCGACTCCCTGGTTTGGCAAAGCTTGGTTCGTCCAGGTACAGAAACCAACCGGTGATACACCCCCGGCGGATCGGGTGCGCGTCTTTCTGTACTGCGAAAAGGCTACCGTTGAAACAGGAACTTTCCCTTTCACTCCTGTAGACCGACTTAGTCTCAGCATCTATGTGAAGATTTGGCCAGAGGGATTCTGGCACTTTTTGACTGAGTTTTCCAGCCCCCGTGAATTCAGGCTTGAAGGAGGGTGTCGCAATTGGGGCTTTTCTGACGCATTTAGCATGTCCTGGGAGGATGCTAGGAAGTCGGAAAAGTTGGTGGGCAGCAACGGTGCCATTAGCATCAAAGTTGTCGCCCGTCGTTTTCGAGATGCAAAGAAGTCTTGACACAGTAAGCCAAAACCAAACGGCGAGAGGGTTAGAAAAGTGGGCATAGCTTGTTGAGTCTTCCCCCTAGCAAGACAATGATGTAATTTAGGTGACTGTATCTACGAACTGTGGTACTACAAGACGATGCCAAAGTCGGTGGGGCATGCCTCTTGCGACGTTTGAAATCTATTCTCACCCTCATCACCTATTCAACATGATCAAAGTCATCGGAACATTAGCAAGCTGTTGTTCGACATGCTTCATAACGTTTGGATCTCATACAAACGCTTCTGAAAGCTTGCTCGTTGGTCCACTCATGCCGACTTCAAAACCATGATTACAATGAATAGACCATTGGCTCTCGAATCAGAAAACTGCGTGCCATATTCTTATCCAGAAAGAAGAAGGCGGTCCATCATGTAGCGAGCGGTAAAGCACTTTTAGAACCGGAGATCTCAGAAACTGGGCTCTGATCCGCATGAGCAGGGATACAAATCCAAACCTTAAATCTCGTTTATGGTGACGCATAGCATATTACGTCAGCATGCGATCATACGCCAGTCTTGAATGGCAAGTGTACAACAAAACGCTGATTTCGAGGCTGAAGCTGACCATTACGAATCTGACACAAGGTTTGACCTGAATCAAAGGGATTCGTGCAAGCACGATACGTATAAGTCGAACCGTTCCGATGAACTGAAGGGCTGCTGCCAGCGAACGATCAGAGGTTTGCGTTGTAGCCGCAGCTGACGCGGTGGCCTGATAATGCGGGCACCGTCGCAGCCGCCCAACCATACGGTAGTGATTCTTGCGTCCGACAACGGACGGCCGCGCCCCCGAAAGTCGCGGCCGCGGCCGCGCGCGTGCTGCCTCACCGTGACCGAGTCAACATCTCCTTCGCGCGCCGCGCATCAGCGGCTAGGATTAGAATCGGACAGCTATAGTCTGTAGCCCGTAAGAGCGTATCGAATGGCTGCAGGACTTACAGGTTGGCAGAAGACATGCTTCTTCCTGCCACGTGGAGCCCAACCAGAGGCCTTGCCTACTACGTGACACGTTGGTAGCGCAGGTACGTATACACTGCAATAGGGGGTCGTACTAGCCATCTGAGCGCCAGCTAGCAGCTGTGTCTCCGCTTATGTTACGTAAGAATATTTGTGGCTTGTCAGCGGGGGTTTAATAAGTCTAGCTTCAATACAACAGTCCTATCCAGTAAAACTAAAGCCATTTGTTTTAAATAGACTGAATCACATTTGTCCTAAAGCCCGGGTGCACCAACACGTATGCAAGTGAGTCTGCTTACGCTCAACAAAGTGCATGATCTTTGTCTAGCAGACGTGTCAGGCACATGTAAGGAAGAGCAAGCAAAAGAGTATGAAAGCGTGACGTTCAGGTTTCATAGAAGTGGCCCTATAAACAGCCATCGCAACGGCGGACAGTCCAGATCCTGGCAGATAGTTTACTTGTCAGAACTGCGTTACATATCCTCTACAGCCTCCTACAAGGTTTTGTAGGAGACTGATAGACCAGCTTGTTAAGAAAGATAGTCCAATTAATAAGAATGCTATGCAATGTCTGAGTACTAAGGCCCACTCTTTCATTGGATTCGACCAATTCCTGTTTCAGAGTTTTAAGTTGGTGAACGGGTTCCTTCTGTCCCACCAAACCAAATGTTCCGTACTTCTTTTAAGTGCCTGGAAGGCGAAGGTCTCGACGGATCATTAAAGCTCTAGCAAATCTTGCAACGTTTGCTGAGCCTCTGTCTAGTTCAAAGGGTTTGATGAGCCCATTGCTGCGAATCCTCAGAGCTTTGGAAGCGACGGGCAACTACCCTAATAGTAACGGCACCCGTGCTGCCTAGAAGTCTTTCGGACCGTCTTGCGTCCGCCCAGGAGGTCTTCAGTGGATTTCCAGGGCCACAGCCGCTAAGCTTCCCTCCTGTTAGTAAACCATTGAGCGCTGTCCGACCCACACTGCCACATGACTTCCAGATGCCTTCCGGCCAGATCTTCACAAAAAACTTCGTCTCAACATCGTCCACGGTGCTGGAGGACCCGTGCAAACTATCGGAAGCAACTTCGCAGCACAAGAAAACACCCACGGTGCGCACCGAATCACCCTTCCTTGATAGCATGATGTACCATTTCTTCCCAAACCATAATGCCGACCGCGACGTCATCCTTGTTCTCTGATCGCCTAGAACAAAGTCGTTTATGATCTCGAGATGGACCTCACGCACGCCCTTTCTTTGCACGAAGGCTTTCCGGACGACTTCTTTCTTCGCGTCCGAGTAGGCTCGGAACCGCAGAGCGGCGTTGATCAGCGCTTGAGTGGGCTTTGATTGCATCTCCGGAACCGCGAGCAGCCTCTCTAGATACTCCCCGCTCAAGCAAAAGAACCGAACTTGCGGCAACAGTTTAGAGACCACGTGTCTCCTTTCGCTTTCAGACTGGTAGCAACCTCTGATCCAGCTCAGCGCCTTCTCGAGAATCTCCTCTTCAGAGTCGGCCTCGAGCTCCTCGGACTGAAGCAGAATCTCCATCACATTGGGGTTCGACTCAAAAAACTCAAAAATCTCAGAATTCCACGTCATGCTGACGTCCTTGAACGCTTCGATGATGTGGGCACGTGCCTCGTCCGCTACTTTCTTGATTCTTCCAATTTGGAAGAGCGTCTCCGGAAGCTGCTCTACGAGAACGGCGCTGTCTGGAATGCTCTTCTCGCGCTTGCTCAGGCACTTTAGAACGGCGCCCATCAGAGAAGGGACCTCGAACTTGTCGCCCACGACGAGAAGCCGCACGACCTCGCGCACATCGGTGGCCGGGTCGTGCAACCGGGGTGAGAGGCTGCCGGCGTAGAGGAAGTGGAGCATCTCCTTGAACGCCTCCTTCTCTGCAGAGGCCAAGACGAGCTCTGAGTTGCTGTGAGAAGCAGTCATTTCTGACAATCAGAAAACCATACAACGAGACTTGAGGTAGAGTTGCAGTCGTCCTACGCACAGCAGGTGGAGTTTTTCTGCCGTATAGCGACGAGACTTCAGCTGGGAAGCATGTTACCGCGCTCGAATGTCAGCACCTTGACAGCCCATTCACCGAATTTTGGTGTGAGGCATTGATGCAAACGAGCGCACTTGCAGCCCCCTTTGTAAATGGCCTGAGGAAGTGGTGATCGGTCGAAGTCAGATTGATGATTTAGGTGAACTTTTGGTCTGTGAAAACTGTCTTACCAATTGATGCGCAGAAGAAAGCATTTCGCAAACAACGAGTGACCTTCCTAGAGGCTCCACTTCATCAACGACGAAGATTAGAGCCTCAAAACCAGAACTGATCAGCTTGCATTTTCAGCGATACGGTATCGTTCAGAGAGGTCTGCTTCTCTGAATGGCCTAGCAGTTACTTTCTAGCAGTACGTCACGAAACGATGACGCATCATTGCAGTTATTGAAGAGTCCAACTGTTGACGCCCCGAGCGAAGCCTTTCGACAACGACATCTGAAGAGTAGCCGGGCAACGATTCTAAGAGAATAACATTCATTCAGGGTGAACCAGTACTGGCCGGCAGGAAGGAATGTTTCCAATAGAAATAGCCGGGGTTCTGTTCAAAAAGGCAGTCGGCTTTTGCCATAGAATCGCCCGAAACACACAAAAGCATCATACTCCTGTCGTAAGAGAAAACGAGCGCCGCACTTACCTTCCGCTGTGACTTTGATGCTCATTGGAGCGCCCTTGTCCGACTCTTGCATCCCTGCAAAAATCATCTTCTGCAGAACCAGGCTCTTCGCAGCGAGGACGATTGAGCTCACGGGTATCTCTTCACACCCCGCCGCCTCGGGTCCTGAGATGAGAAAGCACGGGCTTACGCCATCAGTCTCATCTCGAAATCGCAGAGGGAGCGTCTCCACAGGTCGAAGCTTTCGCATACATGATGCTCTACAGGATGTTTGCACAGCATTGAGATCTCTGTTAGTAACGTGTTCACGGTTCCCCTCCGTTTTGTCTCGAGATTAAGTAGCAAGGAACGGTGAATTTATCGCGCAATGCTTTTCAGGCGCCTCATTTGACGGGTTAACGATCATATCAGCAGAACGGCTTTTCACACTCTCTTGTGTACTAGCTGCTGATACACAGCCTTTCCACCATCTGAAACGACAGCCCACGTGCTCGTTTTGCTTGTAAACGAAGAGGGGTTCCGCTTTTGACGCATGGAAATCGCTGACATTCAGAAGTTTCACGAAAAAGCTTTGTCTCTTTCCGGGAAAAGCTGCATAGTAAGTTGAAGATCACGATCACGAAGATGCATAATCTGGGCAGTAACCAAAAGTCGAGATTCCGGAGCCAGATCGGAACATTTCTCGCCCACGTCGATCTTTGATGAGGGGCGCGTCTCCTCAAAATACCCTTAGCATAATCAGGCTCTACGTCAGTGCTAGCGTGCCCGCGGAAAGAAGGCGGTTGACGTGTAGTTGTCGGGTCAGCATTCAACGTGAGCTAAAACGCACTTGCCACTTGATTCCAAGGGAATGCAGAAGGACGGCCCACCTTCCTTGCTCTCGTCCAGGATCTTCAAGCGAATGTTCCGATCGCAGACTTCACCCCTTCTGCACCGCAAAGGAAAGACCATAATGAAAGCTCGCTCTGTGCTCGCGCACGCAGTTTCGGTTTGATTGGCCCTACCACATGCAGATTTCGAGTGAACCCTAAACTTCTGTTCCCGATGCACCGAATTGCACCGACACCAAGCATTCCGAGATTCAAAGGAACAGCGGTTTCTGCTATCAGACGTTGAGGTAGCAGGAAAGAGTACGATGGCATTAGTTGACAATGTTGGAATTTCAGCAGCGCCCCCCTTCCTCCATACCGTCTCTGTACCACGTAAAAATGTATCAGCCTTGGCAAGACGAGCAGCCCTTTTTTCCGAGACTCATAGTAGCGGGACCCGTGCCCCCCGTCAAGAAAGAGGCGAAACGTTGATTTTGGGGGATCATACAATAGATTTCCACTTTTTATTGGCTGAGTTGCCCCGCACCCCTACACGACTTTATCTTCAAATCTTTAATTCCTCGCCTGCTTCGACTCACTTGTAAAATCTTAGGAAGTCGTAGTAGTGGCCCTCCTCGTCCAGGCCGTCCTCGAGCGCTGACGCGCGCGCCTCAGGCCCCGCCATCGCAGAAGCTTCTGGTCACCAAACAACTTTAGATGCGCTACGCTCTACGCAGCCGATCTGGAAAAACTTCTTCGCAGCAGCTGCTTTTTCTCAGACTCCTTGAAACGGCTGAATCCTGTCTTCTCCTAGAGTTTCCTTGACACGGTCATGGCATATGAACCAACTTTTTCAAACTTCACACTGAAGCTTGGTCACCCTCAACTAATCCTTATGTTTGCTAGGACCCAAAATCTTCGCTTTGAGACAACTGTGCATACAGCTGGCCTCCACGCCAAGCCATTCGGTCCTCTCCTTGATTCGCAAGTACCACGTCCTGCAGGGCAGGCCTGTTACAGTAAGCAAAATCTGATTCTTCAGCATCATAGGCTTCTGACGTCGCTGCTCTTGACGAACGAGCTGTCTCTCAATCCGAAGTTGTGTTACAACCATATTCACAGGGACTCACAGAATGCAGCTCCAACCAAACCCGTTCGTCGAGACTCGAGAGTGAGGTTTAGGAAACATTGAGGAGTTGACGCATGACCTCATACATCACCCCAAATCTCACTTGGATCGTCAAACAATCATGCATCATACAAGATGGTGCAAGTGGCAGAATTTGCTCGATCGGAGGCTTCCCATTCAGTATGTCCATCTGCCAGCAGCTCTCGACGCTGTTTGTCGAATTGTGGATCTGCCAGCGGTCTTTGCACGAAGGGGTTCCTCGGAGCAAGTAGAGTTCGATATCAGATCCAAATCTCAATTTCAGTGCGCAGTTGCGGACAGTAGCTAGCGACACGCTACCTTTGCAGAAACTTTCTTTCAAAGTTGGTGGTGTCCGATCTATCGTTGACTAAATGGGTGTGCAATCATCTACGCCAAACAAACATGACAAAGACTCTACAACCCTCGCTGCGTTCCTACTCAAGCTGCCTTCCAAACGGACAAGGCCTTCTTCAAAACCAAACAAAAACTCTTCAGACTCTTCTTCTACTACTTATCTGCGGACACGCGGACGATGCCCGTGCCCCAGTTGGCTACCAGGCTGCGGAGCCGGTCCGGTATGTACTGGATTCGAACCACAGGTTCGACTTCTCGTCTGTGGTGCCCATGAAGAAGTCCCCCCAGCGAGAGACCGGAAGCGGAAAGCCCTCGGCTAAAAACTCATAGCCGCTGAAACCGTCCTCGGCCGCGCGCGCGAGGATGACCTCACCCGTGGGGCCGTTGCGGTCGTCAAAGCTGACGTAGGCCACGCTGGGAAAGGGGTTCAAGAAGGAAGAACGTACCTTGGCCCCCTTTTGAAACCAGCCCCAGCATCAATCCAATCCGCTCCTCCACGCGCGCCAGCTGGTCCTCCGTCCGCTTCGAAGCGCACGCCACCGCTTCCGCTTTCTCCGCCGCGGGGCTCGGCAGCCGCTCCTCGAGATCGTCTAAGCGTTCCCCGTTCGCGCCCCTGACAAGCGCGAGCTTCTGCGCGAGCGCGCGTTCGCTCGCTCGCATATCCCGCTCTACTTTGCTGACTCTAGCGTCGCTGCCGGCGAGGCCCTGTTCCAGCTCTTGTCGCAGCCCTTCCACCTGCTTCGCGACGTCTCTCTGGCGGCTGACAAGGCCTCTCAGATTTTCCGTTTCGTTTCTGACGCTTGAAGCTTCTTCCTTGCACACTTTGACGCTCTCTTCCGACTCGTTCCGGACGTCCGCAACGCTCGCCTGCAGTGCGGACAATTCTCGCCGCAGGTTTTCCAGGTCCGCTTCGATTTTCTGTGTCCGCATTGCCAGAACGGGTTCGCTGCCGACCGCTTCTTCCGAGCAAGTCGGGGCCCGAGAGGGTGAAGCCAACCACGCCGGACCCCTTGCGGTTGATGGCGAACGCCGGGTAGATGACGTTGTTGCTGACGTACCAGAAGGGGAGACACGTCAGCAGACGCTTGGAACGTAAGGCCTAAGCGTAAGCTTGATCTGACTACGTCGACGCGACAAAGTTATCATTTATGACTTCTTTACAGCATGAATCAATTCAGCTGCCTGGTATTGGTCAAGGCCATCCCCTGCTGAGGCATGGGTACTGATGCGGAGCTCTGAAGACACTGACGTCGAGAGAAATTTTAGGAGGTCCGTATTAATGATGGGAGAAGCGAGTCATCGAAGGACCTGGCCATGGAGATGCTTCACCGTTAACTTCACGTACTCGCACGCGCAGATCTTTCTGATCACAGCAAAGATTCGACCGTCCGTTTGAATCAAGTCCAATTGAGCAGGTTTTTCTGGCCACAAAAAGTCCGGACTTCCAAGCTATGCCAAGGTTACTTGAAAACGTATCCACGTGCCTTATCTAGTGGACGTCATTTGACAAAAGCGGCGCTGACATTGAGGACACCGAAACGGAATGCTCAGCGACTCGCCTGTTTTCAACCGCGATCACGCCGGCCTTGAAAACTGGTCCCGTAACCTCTGCCGGGCGGCCGTTTTCCCCGGGGGTGACGCTGGGCTTGATGAGGAAGAAGGCGATGCCCACGGTGGGCGGCCGGTTGGAATCCCCGGGGACTATGTCGTTGAGCCCGACGAAGAGGTTTCCGTGCGCGAAGACCTAAATACAATGGAGACCCGGTTAAAGACCTACATTTGAATGGAGACCCGATGTAAGACCTCCTTTGAACGGAGACCACCCAGTTTAAGACCACCCGTCCAGGAAGGGGGGATCGATTTCAGAGCCGGTCTGAAATTTGCAAGTCATGAACTCAGACCGGATTCTTTCAGACAGTATCGAATCAGGGTCAATCTTATCAGAGCGCATATGCTCATCAATTTTCCAGTTGAACGGGTCCCAAAGTCATCCAAGACCAATCATAAATCTGGATCCTGCTTTCTGGTACGTACCGGTTCTCTTACGGAGTCGTCGTTGCTGGACAGCAGCTCGAGGGGCGCCGTGGTGTTGAGCACCCGGAGTCCGCTCTTCTGAGTCACCGGGAGGCCGCCGAAGGGGCTCAGGCCGATCTCACAGTTGTTGTACTCGATCTGCGCGACCGGGAAAGGCGTCGGGGCACGGTAAAAAAGAGGCCCAGGAGATAGACGGCGCTCGGCGAGAGGAGGATTGCCAAATTCGCCGGGGAGTCAAAGCAGGAGAGTTAGATATTGGTTTGCCCGACGTTATATAAAGGATGGTTCTCCGACAGATCCGGAAATGATTCTGTCCAAAGTTGCATCCAACTTGGAATCTCAAGGGGCACCAATCATAGCAGAAAATGACTTGAATCTTTCTACCGTCACAAGGTATGAGCGTGCGCAGCTTTCTCTCTACCTAGATCAGGTTCTTCAAAAAGCCTTCAGATCGAGCTCAAGAGAAGTCCCTCGTATGTAGCGCTCTTACCAAGGAGTCAACAAGGGTCTGGACGAGTTCCAGTTTGCGGACGTCCGGGTTTCTCTCCCGCAGCGCGCGCGTGTTGACGAGCGCGAAGAGTGCCAGCTGGCGGACGGGAACGCCGCTGCAGGTGAAATCCGTATCGCTGACGAAATAAACGACGCCTCCGGCCTCGGTTGGGAACTGCTCGTCGGGGGACACACGTGCCACGTTGATGAAACTCACGTTCCCCTGCAATGATAACCAGATTTTAGCATAGAGGACTTTGCGACCGGTACATTTCTTCCGACCTTTTTATTACCTTTAAAACCGGGGGGGCTGCCGCCCCCACGAGCCCCCCCGCTTCCTCTTTGGGCCTTTGTTTCATCACATGTGAGGGATCGATAACACAAAGTTGAAGTCAAGAGAGATGATAGTAAGCCGAGATAACAATAAGGTAACCGCACTGGGACGGGGAGCGTTAGTTTGGTGGTTAGGGTGGGTACGGGTATCTTTTCGGGTTAGCGTTTGTATTTGTTAGCCGGAGCTGAATGTGATCTTGGTTTATTATTATGTCTCTTGAGATTAATCTGCACGTCAATAGGCGCACGAGAGGGGCTGGTGTCGAAGTAAGTGGGCGCGCCATTGATTACTGCACAACAGGTTTTGGCCCTTAACCATGGATGTTATGGTGGGCTTCATTTTGGCTAAAGGTGGTTATGCGTACAGTAACCAGACGTGGTCGGTAACCAAACTTGAAACAAGGTGCAAGCCCGGTTATAACGATAACCGGAGACTCAAGTCTCCTTACCAAACCTGGTTAGTAGCGAGAACTTCCTGTGCTGAGTCACATTCCTTGCAGGCTTCTGACGTTGGAAAGGCAAGCGCGCTTGATATGTTCCGTGCCTTCCGACGTGATACGTTTTGGGAAGCTCAGAAAATGCATACGACCTGCGCGTTCTGACAGCACACGGCAGCAGCCGCATGGGCGGGTAAAGCATTGAGAATCCTGTTTTGGATGCAACCCCGTTTCGAAAGTGCAGCATGCAAAGTTTGACCGTGAAAGATCAAAGATCTTCCTGAAATGGATGCGCAAGTTCTCTTGAAAGTAGAGGCGGTATAAACTTGTCCTTGGCGGAATATGCCGATCTTAGTTTTTCTTACGCCATGTTTGAGTCCCGTTTGAGTAAGCGGCACGTTCCCGGCAAATTCGATTTACAAAGACTGGTTAGAGTTTCTTTCAAATGCTCATGTCGTATTAACCAGTCTGGCTCGGACCACGCAAGGAACTAAACGGCTTCGAGTCGAGATCGACGAAGGAAAGAACAAAGAAGATAAGAGTGAAGATGAAAGAAGCTGATTAGACGTAGCTGAGGTTGATCGACAGCACAGACGGCATACCTCGACGCGCGTCGCCGTGCTGTTGACGTATGCCGCAGTCGGGACGGACGCGTCCCCAGCCGCCAGCGCAAACTTCGACATAGCGTATACGTCCTGAGATACGAGCTCCCCCGTGAAGAGCGTGAAAACCAGTCCGTTTACAATCAAGGCGTCCGCACTGACGGCGAGCTTGGGCTCGTCCTGCGATCACGAGGCGCCACGTGTGAGCAGACCGGCAGTGAAAAAATAAAAGCGGCTTCCGACCGTCCGATTCAAACCAAAGAGAAAGGGGCGGATTCTGGCCGTCGTTTGTGTGGTCCGGACAACTCCGGGCCCGCTGTCCGCTGAATTGATTGCCCAAGACTGTTTGGCGAATACATGCGAGCGGTATGCCCGTTTTGAAGCAGGCCGTTTCACTTTTGAATCCTATTGAATCTGATCCTCCTTTCATCACGTCGCTCGAACTGAATGTGCCGTACACAGACTGCTCCGTACAACGATGCTTCTCTCTGTTTCACTTGCGCTTCGGCTTCGAAAAGTGACGTAAGCGACGGTGTTTCCGGTGCTAAAGGTGACGTCCGCGACTTACCAGGGAGCAGGGGCAGGTGGGCGCGAGATTGGGCGTCCCTTCGGTGCCGTCATTCGTGGTTGGCAGCCGGTAAAGCGCGTAGTGCGCGCGCGGGTCGCCGCTCGCGGTGACAGCAAATAGGGTGGCGCTCGGGGCGATGAAATCCCCGGTCGTTTCGTTCCGGTTGATGAACACCGCCGACAGGAAGAAGCGCCCGGTGTCCCGGTCGAAAACGCAGCGCGGGTCGGTCATATACGCGCCGAACGTGGTCGGGCTGGGGAAGTACGGGGCCACCTGCGAAGGGCGTTGGGTTTGGAAACCAAGTTTTCAAACCCAGTTTTCAGATCGAATTCAAGTTGTCAAGTCGGTTTTGGGTTATCAAACGAACCAAATCTTCAGATTGACTCGAGTGATTTGAAAGCGCGCTTTGCTCCGCGCAGATAAATTATTGTGCTTAAAGGGACTGGTAAGCAGACACGGTTTCAGTGGTCCATGAAAGTCGATGAATAAATATTCGTGCCTCCTGCCAAGACCAAACTACGTAGCCAGTCAGAGGGCGTGAGAATACTCACTTCGGCCTGATCTTTCAATAATCAGAAAGACATCCAAACCACTCTAAAACACCGATCGACCCAGAATTCGAGAGAATCTTCAGTCCAGGGATTTGCTTACCTGCCAGAGCTGGTTGATCGCCACCGGAACGGTCAGCTGGATGCCGGAAGCGGAATCGAAGACGACGAGCGCGTTGTTAACGATCTGGACCACAAATCCGTTGCCCGCGCACAGCCCTCCATCGGACGGCTCCACGTTGGGGTTGGTGTTCGTATAGTTGCCCGTCCCAGCCGTCCGTGAATCCAGGTTGTCGATTCCGTCAAACGTCAGCACGCGCGCGCGCGGGGGCGTCTCGAGCGCGACCTTGAAGAATTCGGTGCCGGGCGCGCGGCGCGAAAGCGAGGGACCCTGCTTTGGAGAAAATAATAAGAGATTTTTTAAAGTCCAGTACGGACAGTGCCGCTCTGTTGATGACTGAAAAACCCCCTAGGCCTTCGGCATGCGCAGTTGAAAGGAATGAAAAGAAGCGTACGTTGGAAGTTTTTTGCGCAAATTGGAGCAAATGTTCGCTAGATTTTTAGTGGCCGATAAGAGTAAACTTAACATGCTTGCAAGAGTCGGATAAGTGACTCCGCAATCCTGCATTCCGGATACGAACCTGCGTTCCGCTCACCGTGCTAGAGCTAGCGGAGACGGCCGGAGACGGAGCCAACGGATCCTGGGGGTTTGCGGCGGCCGCGGCTCCCTTCGCGCGCGCGCGTCCGGCTCCCGAGGACATTGACGCCATAGACGCGCCGGCAACCTCCGGGTCCGCTGACGTCACCGTTGCCGACGCTGACGTCATGGAACCGTTAAACAGCCCCTGGTTCGATGGCGTCACGGTGATGCCCGGGCCCCGGTTGTCCACGGGGATGACGAAGGGCTCGAGGGAGAAGGTACCGTACCGGACGGTGCTGACGACTGCATTTGGGGAGATGGAGCCCGGGGCGGTACCGGACCAGGGCCGCGAAGGAAACGGCGACCAGGAAGAGGAGGGCTAGCTGGGACATGGTCGCCGCGAAACTGTGAAGTATTGAGGAGCAGAAAATTAATGATCTGATCAAAGCTCTGAGTCAGATTGGCGACTAGGACAGACATTAAGGCTATCAGGGCCATGACATATTCCATGGCTATCTGGACCTATGAAGCTGATCATATCAGATGGTCACAGGAATCAGACAGGTGAGAGTGAAGGCAAGAGCAAAGCGTGCTTGAGCGACTGCCGGACCAAATGACGGCGGCCCCTTGACGGAGGCAATTCGTAGTACGTCTTGCAGGATCTGCTAGACTTCGAGAAGCGCAATTGGAACGACAACTATCGTAGCAGTGTATGAATCGAATGAATATTTCCCAAAAGTCGAAAGGAGGAGAAGACAGATGGAAGTGTCACGTCATTGGTTGTTCTTAGTGGAAACCGTGTGCTGCTGGGGATTGGACAGAGCCTCCGATTGCAGGAATCAATTGAGGCTATTGCACCCTTAGACCAATAAACCTCTATGTAATTGACCTGAAAATCATAAGGATACGCGGCCTTGAAAAACGAAAGGCGCAGAGTCGTCTACGAGACGCCACGCATATCCTGTCAAAAGCGAAATGCGGAACCGCTCACCTGGATCCGTGGAACAAAGGCTTCACGGAGACGTTCCTCCTCGCCGGACTGGGTACACCTCACAACGAGCCGGCGTCGGGCAGGGCTGTCGGCCTTACGACCTCTTAAGCTCGGCAGGTGTCGAGGATCTTGGGAACGTTCTGATATGCGAAAGGTTCATACAGAAGACTTCCGGAATGAATGACTATGACGGACAGCTCAGGTTTTATTTGATGAGCTCGTCAACTTCGTTCCTAATAGCTTAAGAGCTGATTTGCGATTCTGTAAAGTAGGCCTAGCGGTGAAGTTTGCGGTGGCAGTCAACAAGAGTTGCTTCCGATCTAGAACTTGGCTGCAACAGCCAATGCAAGTGCTGACGTGTACTACTAACCGCACAAGACACTGTTGACATGGCGGTTCGCTTTGAACGCCACCGTCTGATCTTGGCGCGGAGTCGACGGCGTTCTCTGTGTGAAGACGGTCACTTGAATCCCAATTCTCGAGGTTGGCGTATACTTATGTAAGCCCTTTCTTGGCAGTGGGGCTTGCATTGTGCTCTGGCTTGGATTAATCACGGCTGTGATCTTGGAACCTGGGGCTGAGAATGATTGTCACTTGCAACGACCATCTGTGCGGCTTTTCCGATTTGAAGGTTGTGCGTCTGTTTTTCCGTTGCATTCATTTTGCATTTCTCCAGATTGTCGGAGGCCGCCGTCGGGCCGGGATCCCCCGCTTAGCAACCTTTCTTCAAGGTTCCTTATTAACCTCAAAATCTCACCGCGTACTTATCTAAGTCACCTGAGCTCATTGATTTTCACATCTGCTCCTGGATCGTATCACTTTTTATTGGTTAGAGTGTGTGAAGCCTACCCGGCACCGGCCGTACGATCTTTGAGTGGCTTATATGGACCGTGAAAACGATAGTGCATGCTTTTCAGAAACAATCGTTCATTCTAGTCTATTGTCTCTGGCTAGGCGGAAGAGAAACAAGCTCTTCACTGTGTGCTTAGCAAGTGGCGCTCGCTTGTTTTGCTGCTAGAGAGCTTGGCATCGGCGGTGCTGAGTTTTAGTTATTTCCGAGGGGTTTTCCTGCGGCCGTCATGCGCGTAATGAACGGATCTTCGTTCTGCAGATTGGGGGTACGAGTCTGCTGAAGGCTGTATAGTAGATGGAATATCCCGAGAACTACCGTTAGCAACAACAACACTCGGCTCCTTAGCGAAATAGACGGGTGATAAAGAGGCTGAAAGAAAGGTTCGCGTCTAACCAGACATCTAATCCAACGCCCTAACCGAGAATTCGTTGAACTGAAGGATTCACTTTGACCGTTGGCGCCTTGAGATTATATGCACATCTCATTTTCTTTCCCCTCGTCGATATCAGGCCAGTGGGCACGATTGCTGCTACATTTTGAGCTCTTCCTTTCCGAAGCGTCGGAACATAGAAGCACAATCTTGTGGCTGCCAGCCTTCAGGAACCAAAGCAAGACACAATGAGTGGTCATCAGCGAGGAGGTTGTGTGTTTGGCAAGGTATTGCCCACACTTATCGGTTGAGTTTCGCGGACCCTCTCAGAGAACATGGACGGACTCATGGACCTGCTGGCTTGAACCAATCAGGATATTAAAGGTACGAGTTAGAGGCGGGTCCAGTCACTTACGAGACCAATCACATGATCTCTTCGTTCATGGCCGGGCCGCTAGTGGCTTTTGATAGTCACTAGGTTTCATGTCTTGCGTGCACGCACAGTCACACCCGTACGCGCAAAATCAATGCATGGGGCACTAGATTCAGCGCAGGAGCTAAGTCGCCATTTCGTGCATCATTTGCTTACATGCATGAGGAGTTTTTATTGGCCGGACGTGGTCATGAAATGAGGAATATGCTATTCTTAGTCTACATTATATATACAATCTCTAGCTAAGTTGCTCGTGCCTCTGCAATCGTGTACAGTATTTTACAGGGGCTCGAATGGTGTTGCAACGATAGCCTGACCCAATCATGCATATGCATGCTCAGTGAGCCTAAGCCCGGGCGCCGCGCAGGTCATGCATGCATGATGCAAACATGGCTGGCGGTTAGTGTGCGAAGGGTTAAAGTAAGTAAATCCCCAACATATCCAGTGCCAAATTACTTCATAGCTACAAAACAATCCTTTGATCAACAGTGATATATTGAATTGCAGGGCAACGCCATGGTTGAGATTGAGGAACTTCATCAAAATCTGGCCCGACCTTTCCTTGGGCCACCTTCAATGCAACATGCGGTTTATATCGACAGGTCAGGCATCCGTTGAAATTCATCTGAGAGGTCTGTGCAACTCAATGACGTCCTTTCTATCAACGGATTGGCAGTAGGAAGCCTAGGCTAGTCTTCATCTGATTCCGAATCTTCAGGCAATCGTCTAGCCACAACTCTGAGCGTGACCTCCTTGGTGCAACCTGCATACTCGGAGGTATCAATCAGGTGCCATGGCTTGCCGAACATGTCCCCGCTTCCCCTTCCTTCCGACGTCGTCTTTGTGAAGGTTAACGTCCGTTGCTTCAACAACGCCCAATAGCCGCTCGGCCACGTTCTTGCGAAGAACTGGACTTCCACTTGGTCTACCTGATTCGAATCCTCCGCGGACTTGGCCAGAGCACCGCGGTTCAAGTACACGGCTACTGTCGCCGAGTCTTGTCGGGTCGACTTCTTGACTTCGAGACACCACGTTCTATCATTCCATGTCACTGGTCGAGACACAGTTCTCGAGCCCTTCTCGTCTATGACCACGTTCAAAACGAGATCAATGATTGCTTCTCTAAACCCGCTCCGTAAACGAGAGAAATCGCACATACTTTCGAGCTTCTTTGGTTCCGAGTACGCTTGGAAAACCAGCCCCCTGAGAACTAGCACTTGGAGCTCAGGCAACTGCATATCCGGGTCGTGCAGTAGTGTCTCTAACACTTCGCCTCGTATGCACCCAAACCTGATTTGACGTGCCAAGCGCAGAAGTGCCTCTCGCCTCTCCTTGACTTCCGGGAAGCGTTCTCGCACCCAGAAGTGGGCCCCGTTGAAGACCACCTCCTCCCCGTCCCCTTCCAGGCCTTCTGCTTGTAAGAGAAACTCGACTGCCCGTTCGCTTAAACTCGCAAACCGTAAGAAGTCCCAGTCAGCAACGTTCTTGAAGTACTCGAGGAACGCCTCCTTGGCGCTTTCTACCAATGCTTTCACCCCTTTCCGTTGCTGCAAAACCTCCGGGATATCGACGGCAATCGCTTCCAGATCCGAGTCTCCATTCTCTTCCACTCGCTCTTTCAGAACCGTGACTACGGCCCCCATGAAGGAGGGCGCGTCGAACTTATCCCCGATGAGAAGGGCCAGAATCAACTCAGAGACGGACGTCTCTTCGGCTTGGAGCCGCTCAGAGAGGGTTCCGGTGTAGAAGAAGTCAACCATCTCCTTGAACGCTCGTTTCTCTGCAGATGGGGTAAAACAAACCGTGTTAGTATGACGTAGGTTTTGAAGAAAAGGCCAGCGGAAATCTGGTACATCAGACATTGATTCCTGCGGGAAAACATTGCTCGGAGAAGTAGATTTTCATTCGCTTTAAACTCTCGCTTCTACAAGAGGTCAGACATGGATATACGATAAAGAGCGGAGGAGGGCTCTGAAGTGGCGCACAGACCTGTAACATTGCTGAACGTGCCGTCGCTCGCACACCGTTTCGTCGAAGAAGAAACAAAAGGCAAGCTTGCACACAATAAGGAATAGTGCAGATTACAAGCCCAATCACAAAAGCAGAATAATGCGACTCGGACTCTGACTCGACCTGTTCTAGAGCTTTCTCACCAGGCAAGCCATTAAATTCCCTATTGAAAGCGCGCTTTATTGAGGTGTGCGCCTCCTTTAGCAATGGCTCAAAAGTAGAACAGTGCCCCCAGCGCACAGAGGATGCTGTCACCAAGCGCAGCTTGATATTGCAGGGATTCAGGTGCATGTCGATAAGATCAAGACAACTGGATCCTTGACCTTCGCTTAGGATTGCTGTGCAAGGGCCCACACCCGCAGTGTTTAGAAGGATCGCGTGGAAATGTACAAAGCGTCGATGGCCCAAAAACCCGGAAAAAGGCTGAGTGGGAATAGGTTTTATTTTCGGATGCAGGCCGACTTGCGTGCGTGACCTATCCATGAGGCTTCCAAGGAAACTTTGAGGAGGCGCACACAGGCATAGTAGCTATAGGGACTTACCTTGGCCCGTGACCTTGAGCACGATCGGAGCATCCTTCTGCCCCTCCCTCATGTCGCTCGACAGCATCGCTCTCAGCACGTGGCTCTTTGCAGCGACAATCACTGAAGAGATTGGTATTTCCTCTGCCTCCTCTATCTCGGCAGAGCTTTCCCGCCAGTCATTTTTTTCACCATTGGCTGCCTTTTCTGTCTCACTCTGCCCCCTGCCGGTCTCCGTGTCATTTTCCTCATGACCGGACTTGTCCCCATCCTCGTTCTCGCTTGGAGAGCTTTCCCTGTAATCAGCAGACATGCCTCTATCCCTGCGCTTGGCGAGGCGCTCCGAGGTTCGTATTGCCCTCCCACTAGCTGACTCCGCTATCTCTTGGCTTCCAGGATTCTCCCCCTCTTCTCTTGCCCGTTTCTTACCAGCAATGGTCTCTTTCTCTGCTCCCACTGCGTCCCCTTCTGAAGCGTTCTTGGCAGCGGTTCTCTCCGCTTCTGGAGTCTCTTGGTTTCGCTCTTCCGTGGGGCTGTTCTGCAGAGCCGGTTCGCTGCTTCTGGCCTCTTTCGGATCTGCACAGAGGACCCCACCATTCTGATTACCGAAGCTGCACATCATCCGCATGAATCTAGCCGCAGGATCATGACAAGCGAAAGCCTTCTACGAGAACAAACAGGAACAAACGTAAAAAATCAGAGGGTCTCCCAGTCCTGCTGATGTTCTGTAGGACTAGGCGGAACTTATTTGGGACTTCTCCGAGTGACGACATTAGAGTTCTCGAGGAGGAAAGCTGGGAACTTGGCCCACTAGGACAAAAGCCATTCCTATCATCTGCACAGGGTTGTCTATCAGCCCTGAATCGCATGGTTTGGAGATGACGACCTAACAAGTCCTCCCGTTACCTTCTGATTTACTTGAACAGGCTGTCTTCGTATGCACCTTATTCTGCCCCGATATGGCATTCCTCAGCAGCCTTGTTATGCATGATCGAAAGTTTTTAGAAGACCTAGCTATCTTACCGGACAGCTCATCATCCAGGATCTCAAGGCGGATGGTCCGGTCACAGAACTGGGGTTGCCTGCACAGAAGGCAGGGCAGATTGGTTGGTAAGAGATCGCTTGACCTCATAAAGCATTGCTCCATGCAACTTGCTTGTTTTCACCTTCCCTTTTTGTACGTCAAGATTGTCAAGTTCTAAGTTTTATGTTGTAATTGCCAGCAACAGTGGTGGGGCGTCTCCGAAAATCCTGAAACAGTCAATGAATGGGAAGCTAGGTGATCCTGCAGTGAACCCTTAAACCCAGCACAGTCGACATCCAGATGCAAACTGTACACAAGCAACACAAGTCGGCAAATAGGTCCATCATGAAGATTGCAAGATGACCGCTGGATGGGGCTAAGTAGCTGACTGTGAACTGCAACCGTTTATTTTTCAGAGAAAAGTTGAACAGGGCATGATCTGAGGAGGAGGAGCATCTTCTCCAGTGTCTTTGAGCTCCCAAAGTCCCTCCCGAACTCACTTGTAGAAAGGGCCAAAGTCGAAGTGGTGCCCATCCTCTTCCAGAGAACCGCAGCTGGAATCAGATGATGTTTCACTTTCCTCAGGCTCTTCCATGATTGTCGTCCTGCTACCAAATGTGGCGAAGATGATGTCCGGTCTGGCTGTATGGCTGTTTAGTGATGTGATTATGCGACCTCTGAAGCGCAGATGACGTGGATCGTCTCCACAGCTATTCAATAATCAATTGCTATTCTGGCCTGGCGAATGCCCGTGCGCCCCTGCTAGCTGCCCCTGACAAGCCTTGGTTGGTGGATGCATTCTGCATTCCACTTCATTCTGGCTAGCAACCCCACTCAATGACGTGGTTGCGCTCGACAAATCAGATTCGTTCAAAATGTCACGTGGGATTTCCGGTTGGCTGTGCACCGCGCAGCTGGAGCAAGATTCAAATTTGGCGCGAAAGGGTCTTGTGAGTGTTGTCGAATCGAACTGACTGGGCTAGTCATGAATCACAATTCAATGAACAGCTCCTGAGGTTCAAACTTCAAAACGCAAGCGTCCAATGCAGTGGCTTTGGGAGCACCAGCTTGAGTTGCAATGCCTGGCATAGGGTTCCAGCAGAAACCTAAGATTGCAGCCAAAGGTCATCACCTCAGATCAGAAGAAAGCCAGCGTGGGGCCAGCATATGCAGGCTCCTTGAATGGTGAGCAACAGCATGGACGGCGCGGTGAAAGCCCCAGAGGCGCCTAGCCCTGGTGGCTCGCTTGATGAACAGGGCCACTTCTTTGACTTCACTCCCATCTACAGGTAAGTTGTGGTTTTAAGAGGCCATTGAAGCTGTTGGTTTTGAGCGGATGCTCAAAATGGAAGCTTTTCAAATCACTTTCAGGGGCAAGTTTCATCCATCGAAAGAAGCAAGAACTCTGTATATGCAGTGGCCCATCCTTGGTCCAGAAACTTCCTTCCTGAGGCTCTAGGGAAGAAATCTCCTGATCACTCTAATCACTCTTATCAAAAGTGTCATATCTCTCACCTTGTGTTGCAATGAAAAAAATCAGATTGAACAAAAGTCGCAACACATGCAACTTATGTTAAGCGATCTCTCAGGGAGATGCTATGGTGTGGACTCATTCTTGACTGCTGTTTCTCAGGGAACCCAAGTTCTGCGATCGAGTGATCCGCCTGGAGATTCTTGAAGAAGAGCTCAGGCCAGGTATGTCTATCATGCTACTTTGCATATTATCCAACTGCATTTCTCGATCAGGGGCACAATGGGGAATCTGAACAGTACGTGTGCTTTCCGATTCTGATGACTTACAATATGATGCCCAGCCTCGCTGGACATAGAAGTCACGAACTTGGAGGATTGGTCCTGCTTGCCGCTTACCATAAGAGCTCCTTCGTATGGCCTACAGCTCTGAGCTTGCTTACCAGAAACGCTCCATCTTGTGGAGCACAGCTCTTAAGCTTGCTGCTTTCCCTGTCGGAAACTCGCATCATATTCTGCAGGCTCACCAAGAGTAGAAGACTTGGCAGCGACCCTGGGTTCGAAACTCACATCATATTCTGCAGACTCACCAAGAGTTCAAGACTGGGTTTTCTCATCTTGACAGCGTTCCTTGTTTCCAGGTGCCGATAGGAACAAGGATCCAGGATCAGTGGTAGAGGGAGGTAGGGAGGCACCAGCGGTTCCAGAGAAGGGCAAACATCTTGGCAACCCTCTTGACAGCTATACCATCCATGTACCTACGACACAGCCGGACAAGGACGCCCCAGACAGAAAACCTCCAGGGTCAGAGAACGGGCCTGTCATTGGGAAGAAGCGGCCCAGGGACGAGAGTGAGAGTGAGGCCTCTCCAAGTAGCTCCCCAGAGGAAGCGGGAGCTGAGAAGGATCGGGAACAGGTTGGCGCAGCAAGCAGACGTTCTGCAAGGCTGGCGAAGAGCAGAGACGAGACTCCTGGCAGGCTTGTCAACAGGGGGATGGGGAATGGAGAGGAAGAAAGCCATGACAAAGGAAAGACTGCGGAGGCTACTCCTGGAGAGGGCTCAGGGATTGGCGATCGCATGGTCGACGGAAATGCTGATGAGGATGGGGATGAGGACAGTGACGAGGACTCTGAAGATGAGGTGGAAGAGATACCAGTCTCGTCCATGGTGATCGCTGCCAAGAGCCTGGTGCTCAGGAGGATGATGCTGAGCGAGATGAAGGAGGCGCAGCGGGATGCACCGATTGTGCTAAAGGTCACCCGGGAAGGTGAGCGCTTTCTTCTGGTGTAGCTTCTAGTCTGCACTTTTGAGAAAATAATGGAAGTGAAGATCCAAAGTAACAACCAATAAAGGTGGACTCGAGACCATGCAAGCCGAGAGGATCATGGTAAGCAAAGGACCTGAACTGTTTGCACGAAATGTTTGAGTGCATGCTTGCCATCAATTGGGATGGCATAGATCTCGAGCTTCTTTCCACAGTCCCAGGTCATGAAGGTAACATTGAATCCAGTCATTCAGGTCAAGTGTTTTCAAGCAACCAATCTTGTGCTCAACTTCCCATGTGGCATCTATCTTGACGAAAGGGTTAGAAGCCGCTGCTTCTTGAGAGTTTTTTACAAGGAGGTTCTGGGGAGGTAGACAAGCAACAAATATATCGTTGGTGGATGTTCTACAATTTCTGACCTTACCCTCAGATATCTGGATGAACCGGGCAACATTTTCAGCAACTGCTGCACGAGTGTTCTCAAACGGATGCCTCTTCCGCATGTTCAATTGTTCAGCCAATTCCGTGACGTCACTTCAGGATGGGAGACGAACCAGCCATCCGTTTCACAATATTGACGAGTGAGCGCAATCGATCGCCTCTTCTTCGCTTCTACAGAGAAAAGGGCCGTCAAGGAGCTGCTTTCGTTCATCGGCAAGGGCTCGTTGTCCAAACCCCTGCTAGATCCCGCGACCTGCATCGCACAGCTCATAGCCATGCTAGAGGTGGGGGACAAGTTCGAGGTCTGCTCTTTCATGGGGGCAATCACTGCAGCTTTGCGACAGAGGCTGGATAACCAGGACAACTCGGACCTCGAAGCGCTCGCTTTCGACATCCCTGAGCATCTGCAAACCTGGGACGAGGTGCGAACGCTGGCTCAGGAAGGGCAGGACGCCCTTTTTGAGAGATTCAGGTCGGTTGTGACGTGGAGAAGCAATGCTTTCTTGGATCTGGGGGAGAGAACCGTCGAGTTCCTGTTGCAGTCAGAAGACCTCCGGAGCGGCTCCGAGATAGATGTGGTGCGTGGGGTCGTCGGCTGGGCTTTTGGCTTGGAAACTTTTGAGGAGCGACAAGCAGCATTGGATCGCTTGATGCAGCACGTCAGGCTGGGGTGCGTCAGCGGCGAGTTGCTAGAGTACTTGTCAGGCTTGCCCGAAATGCAGTCCGCTGCGACGCTGGAGCTACTACAGAAAGCAACGGTGTTCCAGTCATACTCTGAGACAAAGAAGCTGGCAGCGATCTCGGACTTCTCCATGGTACGATCGGGATTCTTGGAGGGGAGCTTCGAGATTGCAATCGACGCTGTCATTGACAACGAGGCCAAAGTCACGAAGTCGAACCTCGTCTTGTGGGACGAAAGGAAGTGGCACGTCAAGGTTTATCAGCATGCTAGGAAGGCTCCAGCGACTGTGGGGGTCTTACTGAATCGATGTCATCTATCTCGACAAGGAGCCCATAAGCACAAGACCCACCGTCTGAAAGTTGAGGTCTTTGTTAAAAACTGGCCTGCCAATTATTGGCAGTTGCTGGATGTGCACACTTTCACCTTCAAGGAGGAAACGATTACCCAAGGTTGGATAGATATGTTCGATTGTCCTTGGCACGACATCAAGGGTGAGCCCTACGTACGACGTGGCACAAACGAAGTGAACTTGAAAGTCGTTGTGAACCAGGTAGACTTGGACTGATTGATTGCAAGTTGGTATTCTCAGCCTCGATGAAGAACGTACATTGGTCTGCAAAATGAGGAGGACAGCCGCCCTAAGCACAAGCTCGCTGCATTCTGCTTTCTCTCTCTGCGCCGGTTCATTTGTCAACTCTGCCAGCATGCGCTATTCCGCAGGTTTGATGCTTCAGTATGCGCATGTACGCAGCTAGACCAGTATTTGATCCATGGCGGCTTTTGAAGCTTCGGCTATTGAGTCTGCGCAAGGATGCACGCGCACATGGCATGCCAGCGGGCTAGAGTGATTGCAAGTCATTCATCAGATTGACCAGACGTGTATCATGAATAATTAAGCAGACAAAATCCGGATCAACCTATAGGACTGGACATCTGACTCGTAGATCAGATTCCAGGATGCTGCGTGCTATGTCATGCTGCATGATTGAACGTAAACCACGGCGGATTGTTACATCGAACAGTGCAAGCAGACAACCGTACTTGAGTAATTGCATATGGCTTGGCCGCTGCAGGCTAGCTTGCAATGTTGCGCTGTCCTGTACAAGACACGAGCTCGTCACTCTAGCGGACCTTTGACCTTCGACGTAGCCTCGTCTTGGGCCCCCCAATCAGAGTCGAGTATTTCCGTACTGCCGCTGGCAACCAACGACGTCGCCTGAGTCGTGGTTTCGCTAAAGCACTCAGGGGCCGTCTGTGCACTATCCGTTGACACGTCTCCATCAGTTCCTTCGTCCTCTTCTCCCGCTGGTCTTCTTCCCATGTTCACACTCGCGTTCGGACCGGCCCTCTCCGCCGAATCTGGCCAGTTCGTGCACTCGGGTAGGCCCTTCCTCGTTGACTCCCCGCTCCCAGAACCGCCCGCGACCTTTGCCTCGTCACCCCCCAAAGCCGAAGTCGGGACAGCTAACCCGTTTCTTGGTGTCATCTCCGAGCCGCGGTCCGTTGCGGCCACACTTTGACACTGCCCGCCAGCGCCAGATTGCCCGGTTTCGAAGTCGTCTACCGTCCTGCTAGAAGGTACAGTCAGTGCCCCCTGGAGCAAACTCGGGGTCTTTGCAGGTTCGCCGTTTTGAAGAGAGGCGCTAGCAGGCATGGCGGGACCCGGGTGAAGGCCAGGACCCGAAGGAAGGCCGGAACCGGAACGAGGACCAAAATCAGGATGGATACCGGAACCGGAACCACCTTCGCCCGCCACGTCGCGGTTTGCAGCGCCGCAACTGGGGGAGTTCTTCCGGATCAGGACATCGGCGTCGGTTTCAAAGCTGCCGCTTAGCCAATTACTCATTGCGCAGAGAGCCGCTCTCTCGGCATCACCTCCCGGGGGTTTTAGTTCCCACTTGCTACCCTCAGCCTCGTCGCCCGTAGTGTTTATAGCCACCGCCGGCTGGGGCTCTGAAACCGGGGGAATTGAACCCCAACTCCGCTTTGCATCGTCTGTTGAGGCCGTTTCCGGTACACTCGACTTCATAGTGCTTGGAGGCAGCGGACTTTTGTTCTCCCGGGGGGCCTGCTCCGGCACAGACAACACCCCCGGGGGAAGTGGCTCCGGCGAATTCAGCTCCAGGACCTCCTCCCGAAGCTTTTCGAAGTGCGCCCCCGCGCAATATAAGCGGCTGGCGAAGACGCCCGGGGCGCACCATACGTCCTCCTCGGGCTCTGTTGGGTTAAGTTGGACGACGGGTTTTCGGGCAGGCGAAAGCTCTGGCAAACCGCTGCTAACCGGATGGTTAGCTTGACCCGCAGCCTCAATCCCCGGGTTGACATAACCTTCCCATCCATCCACGCTAGTCCACCGCTGCAAAGCGACACCGTCAGAAGACGCCGGGTCAAGCCCATAAGGCGCCGGACCCCACTCATAAGGCCCCAGACCTCGCCCCTGCCCCGCCGAGTCCTGCCCATAAGCCGCCAGCGCCTGCAGCGCGTCCGAGTCGTAGCTAGGGATCTGCCCCGGAGCCGCCTCATAAGCGCCCGGGACCGTGCCATAAGCGCCCGGCTCGTATGGCCCTTCCCCAAAGTGAACCACCCAGCGCTCCCCGTCCCAATGCAGAGGCGGGAGGACTTGAACCGGATCCGTTTGCGGGGCGGTCTGCTGTGGACACGTGGCAGGCGGGGGTTGGTTGGCGGGCTTCTCCACTTCCTCCCGCCTCTTCATGATGTCAGCAGAGACGTCAACGAGCAGAGCGTGTACGAGAGGCCGCGCGTTGTCCCGCTGCTCCGCGGACGAGGCTTCGTAGAGGAAACCCTTACGACCGTCCTTCGCCTCGGCCGACGTCAGCGTGACGTGAGCGGACGCCTCGATCACCCTCACCCTGCAAAGCAGTTGGAATAAGGTGTGAAAATCTGACGATGAAAATGTAATCGTGTGAAAACCAAGGGATGGCGACGGCGGTATACGCAATTATTGAATGTGAACATGTTGGACTCGAGTTATCGCGCTTCTGGTGGCAGCCGTTGTGGACTGACCTAAGGAGGAGTGTGCTTCTGACTTACTCACGTAGTAAGTCAAAATAGTGAGGTGATGCCCAGGCTGGGTAGTTGAACTTGTCTGAGAGCTTAGAATCTGCTCTCCGCGGCAACAACGATCCTTCACGTATCAAGTAGGTTTACCCAACGGAACAGATTTGCCAGTACTTCCGATAGCATTGAACCTCATTGTTAGACGGAAAAGGAACCCCGGGCAATGACAGATGTTTGAATGAGCATCTGCGTCGGCTTACCAAACGGAACCGAGCCAAATGCCGCTCCTCTTTTGCACGAACTCGACCGACATCGTCAGAGAACACAGAAAGGCCCGCCAGAGGACACTTCCCGAACAGTCCAGACACGTGGTTCCGCAGTGCGTAGACACCGTCACGCAAGGCTTAACACATCAAGCTTCTCTTCCAGAACGACCTGCGGAACGGCTCCAAGGTGGACGTAGATTAAAGACGAATTGCGACAGCGAGACGACTGCCCACTCTGCCAAAAGCAACTCTTCTTTTCCGCGCGACACCATACCTGCCGTAGAAGCGTTCCTGCAGCGCCGTGTCCAGCTCCCACATCGCGATCTGCCGCATGCCCTCCTTCACTTTCATGAAGGCCCTCCCCACCACGGGAGGAACAGCGACCGCAACACTCTGTGGAGCGCGTTTCGCCGCGCCCACGATCGTCGATTTCCCCTTCGCCCCGTTCCTTGCAATCTCACCGTTGACCACGCTCTTTGAAAGCAACTTCGGATCCGAACCCCTCTGGTTGCCTTGCCCCGTTTCGTTCGTTGGTATTGTTCCCACTTTCGCCACTCCCGTTTGCGCTGGTGTCTTACTCCAAGACCCCGACCCCTGTTTCGAAGCGCCAGCGACCCGCGCCTTCCCCAGCAGACCCTCCAGCGCTCCGAACTGATCTTCGTCTTCCGCCCAAGGGGGCGCGCTTTGGCTGGCAGCAGACCCCCCTCCTCCCCATCCTCCCAAAAGCCCTTCACTTTCTCGGGCTCCTTACCATTCGGCCGGACCTCCGCTTTTGAGCTTTTGGACTCGTCCGATTTCTTCATTTCCGACTCGTCCTTTTTCAACGTTTCGGACGTCCGAACGGCTGAGAGCATCCAGAGCGCGCCCCCACCCTTCCCTCCCCCGAGCGATCCCCTGTCTTCCTGGTCGATACGCGCACTCGTCTGTTCCTTGCCCCCAGCTTGTTTATTCTCCGACTCTCTATGCTCCGCCGGAGTCCGTTCTCTCGGGCCCAACTGGATCCCGAACTGCTGCAATTGCTCCTGTATCTTCCCCAGCGCCGCTTTCGCATCGCCCGCTTCCGGTTCCGGGTCCGGAGAAACATTCCGCTCTTCCGCCTTGGTCTCGCCCGGAACGCTCCCCCCCTCTCCGCTTGCACCCGGGGTACCGCCAACCCCCTGGGCCGAGAGATTGCGACTCTCTGCCCCTTTACTGCCTGCTTTTTGCCCCCGCTGCTCCTTTAATTTTATCCGGTGGGCCAACTCTTTCGCCTCGCGCAGCAGCCACTCTAGCCGCGCCGCGTCCGCATCTTCCTCCGTCCCCCCACCCCTAGCTCCTTCCGGTTCCGTTTCCGTTTTCTTACCCGCCTCCTCCGCATCGACTCTCTTTTTGATCGCGTCCCACCGAGCGCGCCGCGCCCGCAGGACTTCCTCCCGGCTCGCGTGCTCGCCGACGTCACCGTCGGTGCTGACGTCACCCTCGCTACGTGGCAGCCCCTGGAGCTCCTCCACAACCGCCTCGCAGTCCCGATCCACCGACCCTCGTTCTTCCCGCTCGACTCTGATTGGTGACCAACCACATTGTTCCAGGTAAACCCCCTCGAAACCTGGCGGCAAATCCGGTCCCTCGTCCTCTGCCCAATCTGCCGACTGCTCCTCGGGGGCTAACTCCATATCTTCCGCTGGCCCTTCCATAGGTTCCCTGGCGTTCGAAGGTGTCACTTGTTCGGGCGGGGTCGCCGCTAACCCGCCTGCTAACCCATTCTCCGGCGCGTCTAGTGGCTCGTCCTCGTCTTCGATTTCGACTGGTGGCGGTTCGTTCAGATCGAACAGAAACGGCCTCTTCTTTGGTTCCGGCAGGTCGTTCAAATCGAACCGTTTGACCGCGCTTTCTTCCTTAATCGCCTCCGACTCGAACGATTTTTCTTTAACCGCCTCCGACTCCGCTTCGCCCACATCTAGTTTCGTTCCAGTCGGACCCGCCTCTCGTCCCAAAGTCTCTCCCTTGAGTGGCTCTTCTTTCGCGGGCGCCGTCACTTCGTCCTCGGCAGGGCCGCAGGCCTTATTTACACCACCCGCCCCCAACCCAACCCCCTCATTCACATCGCTGGCGAACGTTACACCCAGCTCTCCCAACCAAACCCCCTCTTTCACACCGCCCTCCGCAACTCTTTCAGTCTTGCAGAAACCGCCCCCTCCTGATTCAGTCCCCTTTCTCACGCCCTCCCCGTACCCATCCGCCTCAGTCACACCCTCTCCCAACTCCCCTTTCACCGAACTCACCCCATCGACACTCGCCAGCTCGACGTCCGTCCCCCTTTGCACTTCAGCAGGCGCCGTACTGTCCGGGCTTAATCTCAAACACCCCGGTTCAACAGTCTCCACCCACCCACCCTCTTCCGTTGGGCTCTTCTCTTGCCTCACAGCCATTTCCCGGTCTCTTGTTTCCCCCTTTGCCGCCACCTCCCGGTCTTTGAGCTCCCGCTCTGAGGCTCCGTCCTTCTCCTTCGCTTCGGCTCGGGGCGTTTCTTGCCCCGGAGCTCTCTCCCGATCACCGGAGAAAGACCGGCCGCTCCTGTCTTTGCCCCGAGGCGTGTCGTGCTTTTCTCCCTTTCGATCGATGCTCCGTTCCTTTCTGCCGAGCGAGCGCTCGCGAGAATTTGCGCGCGCTCCCCGCCTTGACTCTGACGGCGAGCGGTGACGGTGACCGTTATCGCGGTCCTTGCGCATCCACTCGAGCTTTTCCCGGTAGAGGGGGCGGTACAAATCTTCGCAGCCCAGCCGGCAGTGACCGGGGACAAGCGCTTGATCCTGCAAGAAAATTTTGAAGCTGAGCGTCTGATAAGGTACAAGCTTGCTTTACCCCAAAAGGCCACCCGTTATTTTTGGCCCATAAAGCTACCCAAGACTTGATAGCAGCCCAATAGCAGCAAGGCTTAGTCCTGACATGTGGGCTCACAGACAAACCTTCAAGGAGGTTCAAATGAGGTAGGCAAAAGGGTGTGGAAAATTCGATTAGTCGGGGTTCTGCCCGACTTCGCCTTTTGGGCCTATTAGGACGAGTTTGATGCAGACGTGCCAATAACAGAAAGCACGAAATAGACACCTGCTTAAAAAAGGTAGAGGGCGTAATGTTGATCACAGGTCTCAATGTAGAACCGAGCACTTTCGCTTAAGAAAAGGTTTGGCAGACGTTTAAGATCCGCTTATTGCTGCAGCCTGCAGAGAAAGGGAGTGAACGATGTCGGCTAGACTGTTGCACATACAAGACTTAAACAACGTACGAAGACTGGGCTCGGGCTTCACGAAGTATGCCACGCCAAATAACTTGCAAAGTTGCACCATCGGAAATACACGATAACGTGGTGCCCTGCCTCTTCGTGGGCGTCACGCAAGCATCATCTTTTCTGCACTTTGTAAATGCATATGTTTTCAACTACAGGCCGGAGGGTTTCAGTAGGTCAGTTGGCGGAACGAATACGCTAATAGTTGTTGGTTTCCTGACATGCATGACCGACTGTTCGGTTTCTCCCTGCATGGTAGTCTCAATCTAGTAAAACGACACAGGAGCTCAGACACGGGCTGTTCAACCAACAGAATATTCAGTGATCGCCCACGGAATTCTCGTGTATGAACGTCGGAGGTACGTCGAACCAGAATCAGCAAATGATAGCGGTCTCCTCGAGCAACTTTCTCGTATCTCGTCTGGACTCTGCAAAAGCAGGGCTCCGGCTTACCCATAGCTGTCCCTTAACATTGGATTACCAATTGAAGGTAAAAGGAAACATCGATAAACCTAGAATCAGGACGTTTTCCCATAAAGCCCACGGTATAGGCCATCCCCTTGGTTGCCCCTTGTCACTTCTTCCGAGCGATTTAGGGTTTATGGTCTTAGGGTTCCAGTGCTCACCTGGTCTGCCATATACAGCACACGCGCCACTTGCTCCATGCTCTCTAGCCGGAGCAGCAGGCTCCTCTTCACTTTTATCGGGTTGTCAACCACCTTTAACCCTCCCTTTAACCCCAGCCTGCGCGCGCGCGGCCCGCCCATCTGCTCTATGAGGTCGCGCACAAAGCCATGCCGAAAGCGCGCGTCGCCGAAAAGCGCGGGGTTAGGGCCCGTAACCCAGAGATTACGCAGGCGCGGATCGAAGCTGCGCTTTTCAGCCGCCCAGTCGGCCTCGAAACGCGCCCGCGCCCGTTCCTCCTTGCGGCTTATTTCTCGCGCGGGGGACAGGCTGCGCTTGTTTCGTTCGGACGACCGGTCCGGTCGGATTCCGGCCGCCCGTTCCGTCCGCTTTTCCCCCGACCCGCCCTGAAAACCTTTTTCCAGAGCCCGCTTCGGCGCCCGTTCTGGGCTCCTGTCAGACCTTCTTTCTCGCCCTCTTTCAGCCCGTCGTTCTTCTCTCGACGCCCCTCGTTCGCGACTCCTGTCCCGCCTTTCTCTCCCCCGTTCTAGTTCCGGCTCCCCAGTCAGCGCCCTCGCCCCTTCCCGGCTTGCCTCCGCTCTCGCTTTCTTCCTTTCGACCTGCTCCGCTCTATTCCTGTCTCTCCGATCCTGCCGCTCCCGTTCCTGCTGGCGAACCAGCAGCGCCTGGATCCGGGCCTCGTTTCCGTCCGCGGCTTCCTCTTTTGGCTGCCGCGAACCGTCAGCGCCTTCCCCCACAGGGCCTCCTTTTTCCTCCCCCTTCTCCGCCGGCGCGGGCTTCTCATCCGTATCCTTCGAACGCTCTCTTATCCCCTTTGAGACGCTCTTCTCCTTCGCCCCTTCCAATACCCGCTCTCCGCAAACATTCTCCTTGCTGACGTCACTCACCTTTGACGTCTCCTCGGCACTCCCCCCCTCCGTCTCCAAATCCATTGGGGCCGAAGCTTGTTCCACGGGATCCCCCCCGTTGGACTGGCGCGATTCCGGCCCCCCAGAAGCGACCCCCGAAACCCCCTGTGACCCTTCGACAGATTTCTCGAACCCCGGGGGACGGTCTGCTTCTTTCTCCAGGTGAGCTCCTTTTTCCCCATCTGGCGCCTCCTTAGGCTGCCACGTGGCGGCCCCTGGTCCGTCCATCCCCGGACCCAACCCAGAACTTGGATCATCTGCGCGTGGCCCCACTAACCCGCTCCCTCTAGCCGGCGCTTTCCTGTCGCTTAACTCCGGAAGGGTTTCGGTTAGCAGTAATCGCGGGGCGTCGGTTAACTCAGCCACAAATGCATTCCGGCCAGCAGCCGGTTGATTGGCGTCGTCGACTAAACCGGAAGCGCCAGGTGGGTTCGAAAGGACCGCCTCGTTCCCAGGCTCTGCGAGCTCGGCGCCCGCGCTTTCCGGCCGGTCAAGCTGCCCCTGAGGCGACACCTCCGCTTTTCTCCCATCTCTAGTTGCTTGCACTTCTTGAGCAGGGGATAGTATCTCAGTACCGGTTCCAGCCATTGTCCCCCCCTCGCCCACCTCGGCCTTCGGCTCCGATGAGCTATTCCCCGCCGTTCTCTTATCCCCCGCACTTATGCCGTCCCCCAGCATGACGACACCGAACAGCGCGCTCTCGGCAAGAGTCTCGTCGAAGTCGATGCCCCGCGCCCTGAGACCTTTTCCAAGAAGCGTCTTAAGAGTTGTATATGACATTATGTACAGAGAGGCGTTTCGAGTTTGGCCATCCTCGTCGGTGCAGGCGGGGATGTCGGCGATTGACGCTGTGCCGGGTGCCAGAGAGTTGCCCTGAAAGTGAAAACATTTGGGGTCAAATTTGGCACCTTCAAGGCGTGTCAGAAGGCTTTTGCAAAGGCTATGAAGCTGAGCAAGTTAAGATCAACAAGAACCTCCAAGAAGAGTCTTCGTGCCAGAGACAAGTACGTGAGTCACAAACCGCCTGAAGGGGTTGCAAGAGGAATCACACAACTTCTGAACTGAAGGCTCTAGCAACGAAGGGCAGCTGTGTGTTGGAATTGCATTCCAACGCGGCCTCCCTTCGTTATTCTGAACGACACGCGTTCATTCAATCAAAAGCTGCTGCGTTTCTTGCTCGACCGACCATTAATGGAGGCACACTGCTTTGACGGGCCATCTAAGCAGGCACAGGGAAACAACGAGAAGCTGTTTGGCAAGTGCGCAAAAGACAAGCTTTGGCGCGCCACTAGAGTTTGCCAGTGACCGTGACGAGTCAATCACTGGCTTCGGCACTTAAAGAGCCAGCTCAAGCAGTGTCCACACGTGTCAGCGCAAACGCAGAGTTTGAGCGCCAGCACCTCTATGAGCTACCTTTTGCGCTCATCCACATGCTGAGAACGGGCAGGGTCACAAACCGCCCCAGGCAAAAATGGTTACAACCGGTTCCATGCTCCGAGGGCAGCCTGGCCCTTCCGCCCAAAACCCAAACCTTGATAGCCTTGACCCAAGACGGGTTAGTAACAAGGTTAAGTGGTTTTTGTCCCAGGGCGGATGTCCTCAGACCACGTTCTGGAGGCCTGGTTAAGCTGATTTTACAGCCATTTTAGCCTTAACCTATACTTCGTTACGTATTTAACCTGCTACGTTTATGAACCGAGGATCTTCAGGCGCCCGGTAGAGTAGTATCAAGCAATCTGAGCCGTCCAATCGTGGAGATTGGTATCGTACGGCGGGGAGCATATTTTTCGGCATTTGAGTGGCGGTTTGTGACCCTGAGCACGGGTAACTTTCTCAAGCAGCAGACTATTTTCCTGCAACTTGGACAAAACGGGCAGAGCAGACCACTCACTAAGCCGGCAAAGGGTGGCGTAGATGCGCCGTCCGGACCAGCGCTCTGCTTGGCTGACGTCAGGAGCAGGATTGGATCCTCGATATCGTCCACCGCCTTGGCTTTCAGGTCCCTGCAAACAGACGCAAGAGGAGAACGGGAAACTGTTCCATCTCGATCGTTGCTGTTGAGAAAAAGCTCAAAAAAGTAGATAAGAGGACAGTACTGGGACTGGTTGGTCACTCAGCAGGGTAGGGTGGGTGCGGCTAAGGAGCGCGTCATTTGTTACTTTCTGAATTTCCTCCTTTCGAAGATCAGATGTACTAAAAGTAATGATTCGCCAAATTCGACGATCACGATTGGCCCGAAAGAATGCAGAGTCGCCGAGAATGCTTCGGGGTGTGCAGAATGCTGGTTTCAAATCAAGAACCGCAAGCCCGAAAACCTGTTCGGCTATGTGTAAAGGGCCCGAGCTTAAGAGACAGATTTCGGCCGTCTCGTTGCACGCGCGACCATACAAGACAGTATTTGCTCAAAATTGAAAAAGAAACGTACTAGGACGCGGAGGCCGTTACGAGAAGCGGAGCAAACAAACAAGTGGCCACAGACCTGGTCGTTGTGCTCTGCAAACGACACAAACCCTGGGCCTATCGATTCACGAAGCAGAACCTTGAGGCAAGCGTATCAGATAATTCTCTTTCTTTTCACGAATGGAGATCAGCTGTGGTCTGACATGCATGTCTCTCTGTCTAAGACAGTTTGCGAAAGATAACGAACAGTTCCGAGAAGCAACAGAGGCCCGCCCGGAGATCCGAGCACTCCGGACTCCTGCGAGTTGCAATCTACAGGCGAACCCTTTTCAAACGGAAAGAATATCGTCCGATTCACTCACCTATCGACCGGTACCGTCCCCGTCAAATCAATCCGCTCTGCCGGCAGCGTCCATATCCGCTCCCCCCCTTTCCCTAGCGCCCGTGCCTCCACCCTAGCTTTCATCTCCCCCCCACTCCAGATCCCCCCCCCCCAGACCAGCTTTTTGTCCCGCTTAGCAGACCCCCCCGCCGCCGACGAACTGCTCGGGACCGGGGGATTCTTCGGTTCACCCGCCAGCTGCTTCCGCTCGCCCCCCGTAACATTTGGCTTTCCCCCATCCCGGCTGACGTCAGCGACTCTGGAGGCGCCGGGGGCCTGCGCGTGGCGCCGTCCAAGTGGGATCAGTGCGGTGACGTCAGCGCGCCGCTGCTTGCTGACGTCACCCAATCTGGCGGCACCGGGTAATGTCTGCGCGCTGGGGTCAGCACGACGCCCTTGCTCGGGGGGTCTCTCTCTAGGATCCCTTGCGACCCCCCATCCGCTGCGTGCTGTTTCACCCCTAGGGCTGGGATCCTTGACGGGGTGGGTGGGAATACCCCCTGGGTGAAGCGGGCGAGGCCACGAGTTGGGGGATCCCTGGGGGGGCGGTTTGCCTGCGGCGCCCGGGTGTTGCGGAGCAAGTCTTTCCGGGTGCGGTATCGCACGTTCTGGAGGGGGGGGATGCTGTGGCGGGGGGGGAACAAACGACGGCTCCATTCCGCGTGCTGACGACACTGGCGGTTGTCGGTAATCCGCACGCCGGGAGTCGTTTACCATCCAGTGGCCCTGCCAGTGATGTGCCGGGGGTCTGCTGGTGTCAAAGTGCCTGTCTAACCATTGGGCCTGTGGCCTTGACGCCGCAGGAGGGGGGCCGTCAGGCAGTGGGGGAGCAAAGGGAGAGACCCGTGGAGGGTTGTGGCTTGAAGGGTGGGGGTTGACGGGGGGTGCGGGGTGGGGAACCGGGACTGCTCTATGGTAGGCGGTGTTACCCTGCAGAGGGTTCGACACAGTCTTTAGAAGCGTTAGTGCTGCATAAACGGATTTCAGATTGCTTCGGTCATTGCATTGTAAAGCTGACTTGAGCATCCTGCGCAATCAAGAACTCCCAAGCACCTTCAAAAAGGTAGAAGGGTTCACAAAGGATTCTTAGACTCACTGCTACGGGGTTATGAGATCCTCCAGCGACCTCATGTCTTCACAGAGCAAACGAGTCACGCAAGATTGTAATGACTTGCCCGGTTATTGTATCACAATCATCCAAGCGCTTCGCTGGGCAATGAAGATCTTCTTTGGCTTCTCTGCTTCAGGTTGTAACAAAAAGGAAAGGAAAATCTGAAACGAGATTCAGCATCAGAGGGAAGAGACGACAAATCGATCGACGCCGAGATGAGTGAGTGGTATCTCCAAGCTTGGACGTCGTAAACAGGAGGCTCTCAAAGAATCCATAACCTACGGACGGAAAATATTTCCAGGTTTCAAAAAGCATCATTGCTTTAGAGGAAGACATGGAGACTTCGTGATGCAACATCGACTTGGTGCAAGCTTTCAAATACTAACAAGAGTCGCCTCACTGAACTGAAGATCCAGAGATGAGGAATACGCTTCACGTTTTGCGGACATCTGCTCACCTTGGCTCCTCCAGTTGAAGAGCCGGGGGCTTCTCGCGGGGCAGCCGGAGGTGGGACCGGGGGGGTTGCTTTCGCCCGCGAATCGCCCCTCTGGAGAGGTTTGTTCGAAGCACTACCCGTCGGAGAGGCCGGCATCTCTGGGCTAACCCGCGCGGCGGTCCCCTTAATGATCGGTTTAACGTCCACAGGCTCGTCGAGATTCTCCGCCTTTGGGACTTTCAATGGCGCCGGCTGTTTGAGCAGACTTTGAACCGAGTGCTTCGCAGGCGGAGCATTGGGGTCGTTCTGAGACTTGTTGGCGACGGGAACAGTGGGTGGTGCGGTTAACGAACTGGCAAGGGTTTTCAGGAGCTCCCCTGTGGTGGAAATGCGCCCCAGCCTCTCAACCCCCTCTACACCTCTCCGTTCGGTTTCCGTTCTCCCCCCCTGCGCTGCAGCACCTGCGCCGCCCCCGCTTTCCGCCCCTCGTTCTTTTCCGCCTTTTAATGGCGTGTTTGTTGACCGACCTGCTTGGCCAGCCATTCCCTCACGCTGAGGACTTCTGACACGTGGCTGGCTTTTACTCAACGACACTGCGTCCTTTAGCGGCGACGCTGACTTCCCATTTCGCCCCGGTTTCTCTCCCCCGTCTTTACAGCCCTTTCCTCCGAGTTTACACCCTGCCCATCGGACCCCTTTTTGCCAGCTGGCGAACCCTCTTTCCTTCCAAGAACTTCCGCTTCGCGTCCTACCTGTGCCGCCTTCTCGCTTGCCAGACCCCCCTTGGATGACGGACCTTTTTCCGGTTCGCCCAGCCCCACTGCTCCGCTCCTCGCTTCTACCTTTGCGCGCAGCACAAGCGCACGTCTGCCCCCGGCCAGCTTCGGTTTCTTGTCGACCGGCCCGCTAGGAACCCCCCCGGGAAAGCTCCTCTTGGCGGGCAGCGTCATAAATCCTAACGGCGCTTTGAACTGGTGAGGATCCTGTTGGGCTGGAACCGCCTCACCCCAGGAAACCGAAGCACCTCCGCCCCTCTCGTTCTCCAATTGGCCCTTCGTCAGTTGAGCTAGAAACTGTCCAAGGGGCACTTGCGCCGACCCCGAGACCCCACCCTCTCCCACAGCCCCGACAGCCACCTTTTCATGCACTTCTCCCACGCCTTTGCCGTCAATTCCCGCTTTTCCACTCCTCTCCGACGGCCCACCTTTCTCCATCACATTATCGACCCTTGCCTCTTCCCCTCCCAGCGCCTTCAGGGGCGCTTTTGCCTTGTGCTTGCCCACCTTTCCGATCTTGGCCAGGGGCACATCCTCGATTGACTCACCGCTCGTCGTCCGATCCAGCTTTCTCTTGCCGGCCTGCCTTGCTTGCCCCTTCCCAATCGAACCCACCCCGTTCGCTTCGGGCTCCAAACCTTTTTCCACTCGCATACCTCCAATGCCAATGCCTGCGCCAGCTGTCACCACTCCACCGCCAGCTGTAATCGCGACCCCGCCAGCTGTCACTGCACCCCTGCCAGCTGTTGGCCCGTCCTGGCCAACGCTTTTCCCCAACGCAGCAGCTGCTGCCCGGCCGTGACCAGCTGTTCCTGTCCCTTTCCCGCCCCCCTCATTTTCCAGCTGGTTTGAAGCGCCTTCGTTCTTCTCGGGCGATGCTAACTTCCATATGGTGTCTCCATCCTCGCTTTCCCCAGCCATGACCCACCTGGGGGGCGCTTCCAACGGCACTGCGTTCCTTTTGGCAGCGGCTGACTTTGACGGACGGCCCCGCTTCTTCTTCTTCGGACTGGGCTCCCTTTTCGCCCCACCCACACCTGACGCCTTCGCAGGCATCTCCACCTTCTTTGTGGCTTTCACCGATGGAGACGCCCCAGAGACCATGTCAAGTGGGTCCGCTTCCTTCCCGATACCCCCCATCGGCAAGGACGAGCCCACCAAAGCCTTCTTCTTAGGTCTTCCAACCTTTTTCTTGCCGCCAGCTGGCGCTGGCCTTTCCGGCGCTTTTGCTTCTGCTTCAGGCACTAATGCGGAAGGCCCCCCGGCAGGATCCCCCCTGGACCCCTCTCCATCGTTCTCTACTGCTTTGGGGGGGCCCTTCTTCTCCTGCGGTGGCCCACCCAACCCCCCCTGCCCTAGTTTCTGCACCGCTGTTGTCGTGTTCAGCTTCTTTAGGGGGGCTGCCGGCTTCAGGTTTCGGGTGGGGCCTCCCAGCCACCCCCTTGAAACCACTTTCTTCCCGCTCCCTCGTCCCCCCCCGCACGTGACCATTTTCTGCTTTGGGCCCCCCTTTGCCGGGGCCCCGCGCCCCATAGTCCCCCCATTTGCCGTTGGGATTTTGGGTTTTGAAGCCCCCCCAATTCCAGGTGAGTTTCGTAGATTGACGAGTTCCAGTTTCTGGCCATCTTTGTCGTGCGCCTCAATGAGCTCGATCTCATCGTCGCTCTCTTCTTCCGCCATCTTCAGAACCGGGCTGCAGGGGGGGGAAACAACAGTTGTTCGTAAAGAACCTTTTCATGTAACAGAATCGAGGAACAGGGGGAAAAGTGGGAGTTGATTGTACAGGCAGCTAAACTCCCTCAGGTACTTGTTTGTACAACACACTGAGCACAACGCACCAAGAAACGCTGGAAAGGTCACTGCATATTTTGCAACATATCCAATCTCTTCGCTGTCCCACTTTCTATACCTTGAATAGGACAGAGTTCAGCTCCAATTTGACCAGCCCTTTGATGGCGGCATCTCATGCAGTCGCACTTCGAGACGTACAGGGGCGCACAGGCTGCCCAGACTGATGGCCTTTATCCTTCCAACAGAAGCATGCTGGTGATTGGGCAAGGACTTTTAAGCGGTGAGTTCTCCAGCTCAAAAGGAAGAGCATGCAATGCAGCTGCTCAATCGAAGCTCACACAAGACATGAAAGCAGAGTGTGCATTTCTGTGTGTTTACCTGGCGCCTTATCTGTCAAGCTTCAGATGTTCCAACCCTGTCCGGCTGTCAATGTCCTGTCCACTCAGATATTGGGCAAACGCTTGGCCGCCTCAGGGGCAGGATGCAGACGCCACGAAGCGCCCAGGCCCAGGGCCAAGGCCATGGTCGATCCATCACCTCGAGGCTAGCCACGGTCTACCGACTCTAAGACTACAGCCTGAGCTAGACAAAGCCCGCGTGAAACCTGACGTTTGATCCGAGCAGACAGGAGACTCATGGGACTCATGCCACATGTGAGAAATAATGACTCGAGTTGGTACCCGGTGCTCGGAAGACAGCCCACTGAGGCCTTGTGGCCTGGAGAATCTCAAACACGTAGTCTACAAAGGACGCCGAACAAGGCAGCGTGGTGACACGGAAGACGACAAGTTATTGCCCGGTAGATCGACAGCCTCGGCTTTTCACACCTCCTGAGATCCTGATTTCAGCAGGGATCAGCCTCTCGACTCTTGAGCAGACTGCATGCAGTCTTCAATATTCAGAGAGACTGCAAGTTGCAACAGCAAGAGAGAGGCGCGCGTCTAAGAAGAGCTCACCATCGCTTTGGAGCGTCTCGATTGGTGTAAGAGTCCTCTGCTGGACGGAAGACCCAAGAGATACAAGTCCTTCAAGTATCAGCATACCTGGTGGCGCTGAGCAGAAGCCAATGCTGAGCAGTTGCGCTGTTTGATACTTGCCTTGAGCGCCCAGTGTGCAGGTGAGCAACTTGCAGAACTCTTTTAAAGCCTGTGCCAAAGAAATCTTGTCTCAAGGTTTACCTGGAAATCTTGAGGTGACCCCTGTACGTGGATTTTGACTGCAAAAATTCCAATTTCACCCTCATGTAAGATTGTTCATGTCCCGTTCTGCAAGTGTCAACATTCACGCCCTCTGCATGCACGCTTACAAAAAAGCGCAGGCGAATCTGCAGCATTGCTCTTACAATGAGCTCTTTGTTGAGCCAGTGGTGTGACTTTTGCATCTGTGGGGCATCCAGCTAGTCTTAACAAAAAAGGCACTCCCCCTTGCTTATTTGCAACTCAACAATCTTTCGTCTGCAATCAATGCGGTGCTCCATGGCCAGCTCGTTGCCATTGATTACTGGGAATCGCATTGCCAAGAACTTGCAACTCATATTAGTCTGGTCGCGCTGGTCACATTCTTTCTTGGGCCTGTTCTGCACACAGTGGGGGCAACCGGTGAGATGACTCTCTGGTCAAAACACACCGGCTAGATTTCAGTATCTTCACAGCTCGCTTACAGTCAAAGGCATAATATGTGTCTGATATGGTGGTGTATCCAAGTAAACAATGAAAGCCGCCTGCGCTTTCTCCTGCCAGCTGATGAAAAAGACTTCTGGTTCTCACTTTGCAGAAAGACCAGCTTTTTGGATGCTACTCCCTACAAAAACTCCAAATCTCCACTTCCTTTTTTTCAGGACCGAAAAATGGCGCCCCAGCCACTTTTCTCACAGCGCCCTCCCCCACAGCCTGGACAATCGTCACGGCAGCTGTCATGTTCCAGCCGCCAGCTGTCGCCCATCAAGCTCTCGCTCGCCGTTGCAGCAGTCCTTCTTTCTTTTGCGGACGCCGTTTCAGCCCGGTGCAATCCGTACCGCAATTGCAACGCAGAGGGCTACTGCTGCTGCTCAAACTCAGTGTTCTACTCTGCGCGCCCCGTTGGTCAAACCTGCCAGAAGCATTTCCGAGCGTACATGCTCGCTGTCGTCATTGTCCCGATCGCCGTAGGCCTTGTGCTTTGCATGCTTATGAGCTATTGGCAGCGGAAGCGGCTTGCGAGGTTGCGCCCGAATACGTACCAGACGGGGCCCGACCTCAACCCAGTGCCAATGCCTTATATTGCCGGGCCGGGGGCTTATGCGGGGGGGCCGGCGAGATATCCTCCCGGACCGGGCGCCTATGGAGATCCGGCCATGCCATACCAAGGTGCGCCTGGGGGGTATCACGATGGGTCACCAGCATATGGGGGGGGACAGGGCGCTTATGGGGGCGGGCCGGGTGCTTATCAGGGTGGACCAGGGGCTTATGGAGGGGGGCCGACGCCGGGTTATGATCACCAGGTCTATGGGACCCCAGTTATGGCCTATCCGCCGGCAGCGCACCTTCCAGAGGATCGCTATAAGGAGGCGCCGGCTCCTTACAGGGCCTAGGGGAACGCGTGAGGTGAGAAGCGGCTTACAATCCTTCAAGAATGTTGTTTGGTAGGCTCATTGCCCACATCTACAAGTCAGATTGTTTGGACCAGGTGCACTTACAAGATTGTCCGTTGTTTGTCAGTTCTTTGTCGTTACTTACCTTCTTACTTTCTCTGGTCACTCAAAGCAAGCTGTTGGGGAAAAGTTTGGTCTTATATCACGGTTGTCAGAGCCCGCTGGCAGAGATCTCAGGGGCATGAGCTTAGCAGGTTGTACACAGAAACTGACCCCGGATCAGATGCTCACGGTTGACTACATCTGGTTAATCTATCGGTACCGCTGATCACTTTGCAGTAGCGCTACCATAGGAGGTTCGTCACAAACTCCTGTCTTTGTCAATACTGGAAGGCTGCAAGGCACTTGTTGGGGATGCTTCTGAGATTCGGAGCGCAAGTCACGATCAAGTCTAGGATTATGCAAGGCCGAATTCTTATTGACTGCTGTACTTGGTGGGAGCCTTCTGAGACGGTTAGGAGTGCCGTTGCTTTCAATTGCATATCAAAATAATGCATTGTGTCCCTTCACTGTACTCGAGGTTGATGATTGTCTCTCTTTTGCAGGACGCAAGGAGTCTTCCGGAAGAAAACGTGTGGCATTTGTCTTGTGTCATCAGCCACCGATTTACGATTGCCGGGCAGAGTTGCGGCTCTACTACTTGTATTGCAGTAGTCATTGGTCGGGAAGTGGTTGTTGAATCTGATAATAGTCGACTGCTATGTATGCGGAGATAAAACCTTACCTAACTATCAGCAGCTTTGCTCAGGTCTCCTTGTAGTGTACATTTGTAGTCGGCCCTCTCAGATCTGAGTGTGCTTGCCGGGGTTGCATGTTTGCTACTATTGTATTCAGCAGCCGGACTTACATTTTTGGATCACCTCTACCTTTGCTACCAAGGGTATGTAATAGTCAATGATTGAGGTGCTTCGTAAGAAGCTAAAAGTGTTGGAAGCGCAGCACCGATGTTGGTTCGGTGATTGAGGGCTTGAAAAGTTGTTCTATGTGGCCAGTGGGTTTAGCCCAATGATATATTGGCCACATGCCCAGTTCGAATGGATGCCCAAATCAATGGAATATTGCATACCCTCTATGTAGCATGCAAGCCCAGCCTGGTTCACAGAAATTGGTAGCTCGCTTTACAAGTTCAAGATACACAATTACAGTAGCTGCCGACCGTTATGACGATATTAATTTCTTATTCTTCAAGCATATTGGCATGTATGATCCATCCTGATTGCAGCCCATCTTCCCATGCAACTTTCCAGCAAGTGGTGTATCGTAGTATATCAAAGGGTGATGGTCTCTTTTCGTACTCGCCGTAGCCAAATAGGCCATAGGCTTCTCATGGCATACATGTATGAAGTGTGTGTTTTTCTTAGACCCAGAGCTCTGCATCTTGGTCTATGCTCGACTCTAACAAAAGGGTTCTATATATCCCAAACCGAATCTGTTATCTCCAGCTACCGTACACTTCCTACTTTATGCTGGCGGACCCCACCGGGACTTCGGTCGTACGGAAGGAGGGTCGCAGAGGCGGCGTGGGTATGTAGAACCTGGTAGGGTCAGCAACTTTGGCTACGGCAAATCATAAGCAATCTAGGCCGGATACGTGACGCGCCGGGCCATTTAAAAACCCCTGCCCCGTACTTCACAGCTTAGGGGATCTTTTCATATACCTAAGGGGAAAAAGGAACCGGCGCGGTACGTTTTCCGAATCTAGATTGGATGCAGGTTGCTGCAGAAACAGTGCTTGGGCTTGGGCTTGAGGGTGATGCCAAATTAGTATTGCACAATGCAAAGCAGGTCAGAACGCCATCAGGTTTAGCCAAGGCTTGATCGTAAGTTCCCAGTCTCCTCAGGCTAAAGAACTGTCACCATCTTTCGCGGCAAATTTGAAGTAGACCCGCCAGCTCAGCGGCAAGAACTGTCCCTATTGGTCGCGGGTTACCACGTGTCAGCCACGACTCCGAATCAGCTTTCACTAAAGTTTTTAAACGGGGTCTGCAAATTGCAGGCAGGGTGTGAGCTTTTTAGCATGTGGGCACTCGGTTGGTACTTCCATCAACCATTTCTTCAGGCTCATTCACCAAAGTCAAATTTTGGGATCACAGCGCCAGCATATTTGGAGCAGGTATAGTCTGCTGTTGGAAGGGTTGTCTTTCCACTCTCTCTGGCCTGCTAGCAAAGGACTGAGTGACAAAACCTGCTTCAAAGTTCAACAAAGCCAATCACCTTTGCGCTGGTAGTGCACAGAACAGATTATGGAAAAAGATACCAAGAAGGAGAAAGCGGCAACACCAGAGCTGAGCTCCAGCTCTCTGAAGGAGGATGGGCACTTTTTTGACTTTGTGCCCTTTTACAAGTAAGTGAGAATCTACTAATTCAAAGCTATTCAATATTGGCTCAAACAATCTGCTCTTGTATTCTAGTTTATGTCCATCACATTGTTGAGAACGTGCGACTCCTTCCATAGCCTCATGGCTGCTGTGGTTGGTTCTTGGTGTAAGCAATATGAAAGCAGATTTGACACAGGGCGGGAGGGCAGCGCCAAAATGTGTGAACGCGCAATCGAAGTGATATAAACTTGCGCACGGCTTGCTGTTACTCGTCAAACACAGACTGGGCAATAATTTCGATTTTGTTCCATATATCTTGCAGTGGTCAATGACGCAAGCAGGGACTGCCTCTCTCACAGTGAGCACCTTATGAGTCTGTTTGGACATGGAATAAGCAAAGTTACTGAATGGGTCAAGGGAGGTTGCTTGGATGTAATCTTTTTGGTCCTCACCCAAATTGACCACTTTTGATTACAGGCAACCGCAGTTCTGTGACCGGACTATCCGGTTGGAAATTCTGGATGATAGCCCGTCAGGTAAACATTCTGAAAACCCCAATTCTTGCAATTTGTCTGGGCTGAGCATCTTTGAACCCTGGCAGCTTGAATGTGAACAACAGGGTCAATCGTAGACCTGTGTTGTAGCGCAGGGATCTCAAATGAAAGTGGTTCCATGTTCTTGTTTGTGCGCGCAAGCAGGAGTTTAGGCTTTTGACTCTCTGTCAGAACTTGTCAGGATTCTATGAGTACTTAGGGCGCTGATTGTGTTGCAAAGCAAGTCGTGATCGACGTGCCGGGCAGTCCTTGTCTTTTCCAAAACAAAACAAACTTCCTTGTAAAAGTGTCTGGCCAATTTGCTGGCGCAACTTGTTAAGCATCCCAACACTGTCCTTTCTTACTATTGGGTTTTCTTTAGGACAGGAAACCGAGGAGGGGCTGAAGCCAGCAGACCTGCCCGGGAGAACACGGCAAAGGGAAATGACAAAGCTGAGGGCCTTGACGGAGGGGAAATCGACCCAGGCAATGCTGCAGATGAATCCACGGAAACCCACTGCTCTCAAGAGGAGCTGCCGGCAACGGAAGAAGGGAGGGTTTCAGGCAGAAAGCGGGCCAGAGAAGAAGGGGACGAGCCAGGCAGGGACACGAGATCGGAATTGGCGGGTGAGGATGCTGGTTCAGCTTCAGAGCGCCTGGACGAAAAGAGTAAGGGAGCCCAGGCTGCTGATGGGAGTGACAAAGGCCTCGTAAGCAACGTCGCGGGCAGAACAGGGGAAGCAGAGAAGTCCGGTGATGAAATTGACGCCGGCCTGCAAAGGGCAGAAAATCCCGAAGTGGCAGAAGAGCGGAGTAAGCAAGAAGCGGCGTCTTCCAGTGGTGCCGTAGACAAGGACGGACCAGAGAGCTCCAGGGGAGCGGAGGGGCCGGAGGAGATCCCCATTTCTTCGATTGTTGTCGCCGCGAAGAGCCGCGTACTACGGGCGATGCTGTCGAGCGACATGAGGGAGGGCCAGAAGGATGCGGCGATTGTGGTTAAGGTCACCCGGCAAGGTGCGTGAAAAGCAGATTGGGACAGTTTCACTTCTCATATGAGGGGATTAAGCTTCTCGATTGACAGCTGTGTGTCTCTCCTCTGCCTTCGGTCTCGGTCTGATGTAATGGCTGCTCGATATAAGGTGGAAGCTTGATACGCTGATTTGAAAGTTTTCGAGTTCTGAGCCCTGTGCAGTCTGGTGCGACTTTTCTGAGAGCAGCTCTGAAGGGTTTGACCAGAGAACGCTCGCCATGTTCCAGGGGTGGTACAAGTGCTTGGATGCCTGGATCTTGGATTTTTTTGCATGTTGAGGTTTCCCAAATTCTTGGTTGGGTCCTGCTTTCAGCTCAAACGAGATCCAAACGAGACTCCAGAAGATGCACCCATATGGTTACGAACAGCCTGCGTTCCACAGCCTGCGTTCCCAGTTTTCAATCTAGCAGGCCCCTCTTTGTAACAAGGACTTCTACTACATTCTCACCGTCAAAATCACCACTACAATTCTTCGCTTAGCGATTAATGCATGGTCGTCACCTGCGTATCCTTGTCCCTTGCAGAAAAGTGAGCTTTCAAGGCGATGATTCACATATCTGCGCTCGATTCTTTTCAAACTTTGCAAAACGGCTTCCATTGAAATCTTCAACTTTTTCTACAATGGGACCCTCTCAAAACATTGCTTTCCAGAAAACCGAGCATTTAAGGAGTTGTTCACTTCTTCTACGCTAGACTTTCTCAAAGCTCGCGTCTCATCGTTATTTAGATTATTGAATGTCGAGGATACGATCTACACAGAAACCTTCTCAAGCTCGTGTATCTTTGTTCTGCAGAGAAGCGAGCTTTCAAGGAGATGATCGACTTCTTCTACAACGGAACCCTCTCAAAGCGCCTCCTCGACGAGGACTCTTCGACGCCGGAGCTTATCGCAACGCTGCTTTTGGGCGACAAGTTCGAAGCGCACTCGTTCATGGGGGCGGTCCTCGACGTTCTGCAAGATAAGGTGGAAGACGGGGAAGACGCAGATTTAGAAACGATCGCCCTTCACATCCCGGAATTGCTGCATCAAAGGACGGAGGTGCGGGAACTGGTAGAGAGTGCGGGGGAGGCGCTCGTCGCGAGCTTTCGGAACGTGAGCAACTGGCGGGTTTCGTTTCGCTTCTACGCGCTGGGCGAGAGCGCGATCGAGTTTCTGTTGCGGTCGGAGGAACTAGAGGGGGGGGACGAAGTGGACGTCCTTGACGGCGCGCAAATCTGGGTCCAGCAACAGTTTGACGCGCCGGAAGAGAGGGCGGAAGCGTTCCGGCGGCTGGCTCCGTTCGTCCGGTTTGGGTGCATCAAGGGGGAGGTGTTAGAACGGCTGTTCGACAGCCCCGAGATGCAGTCGCCCGAAGTGCAAAAGCTACTCCAGAAAGCGTTGGTGTATCAAGCCTACTCGGACCCGAAGAAGCTGACGTCCATCTCAGAGTTCTCTCGGGTGAGGGAGGGGTTCAGAAAAGACACCATCGAACTTTTTTTCAACTTCGTCCTAGGTGAACGGGGCTTCAAGGTATTGTCCCCGTGGACAGAATGGAATGGCAGGAAATGGAGCCTGGCGATCGAAAAGGTCCAAACTCGGGTCCCTCCAACGCTGGGCATCAACCTGGTTCGCGGACCAAAATCAGGTTCCCAATCAAACGAGGCCGATATCATCCAGACTCAGTTCTTTGCGAAAAGTTGGCCGAGCGGGTACTGGTCGTTGCTCAAAAGTGGGGTCTGGACATATGCCAAGGAGGAAACAGAGGGAAAGGGGAGCTGCAACATATTCAAGAAGTCGTGGCAGGAGCTGAAGGCGTCCGAGTTTGTAGGGTGCACTAACGAAATCATCTTTCGAGTCGTGGCGAAACGGCTAATCGAAGACTCGGACTCGGAGTAAGCTTCACAGGGTTTGGTCTCAGTCTGTACAGATTCATACTCATTACCTAAGTCCAAGATGCCCCAGCTGTCTGGTTGCTCAAAACAGACTTCAGGTTACTTATGTTCATCATTGCATGCGCAGTTCCGCGCCCGCTCGAACATCCGACAAGCCGGTTAGTATTCTGGCTCGTACGTTATACAATCACTGCTGGGAAATTATCTGCACACTCACCCTGAGACACGATGTCACTCGAGAGATGCAATTCTTAATGGGCCTCTGAACCGTGAGCATACGAAACTCAATTGCACCATGTGCTGAACAGTGCCCGGGGCCAGTGGGGTCATGTGAAGCGCTAGCTGGCACGCGTACTGCAAAATTCGTACAGTCTCGTTGTTGCACAATCCCAGCTGCGGGAATTTGAAAGTAACATGCCAGCTAGTTGGTCCGGGTATATGCTTGAGCAGTGGCCGCGGCCGACCCAACGGAAACCCATTGGAACTAATTGAGTGACGCCTCTTCCTAGCGATATAAAGATTGGCCTTGCACGGAGGCGCGGCTAGACAGCTTGCGGCCGCCCGCGAGCACAGTCAGTACATATATTGCGGCGCCCGTCCAGAAAGACAAATTTACTTGAAACGGCGCGTAAACATGATCCGGTGCAACTCCAACATGCCGGTCATGCGCTCGCGCTCAGGAACATGATCGTCATCATTGCGATCCTTACATGATCACTGATCTTCAATTAACTTTGCCGAGCAGTGCCTCCATGAAAGCTGCTGGTGGCAAGCATGCCACGCAACGATGAAGGTGGCATCAATGATCCGCACTATGTGTGAATCTTTCTGAGCATCCGTATACTTATGGTACAGTATACTTGGCTTAAAGGAATGTTGCTCAAACTAAGCTACTATTTAAGCCTGGGCTGTTTAGAGCGTGGTGGTTACGCAATTGACTCTGAAGGGGACACCATTCCCGCTGTCACTATGTTTGACGGTCTTATACACTGCAAGCCACAAGCCTTCTTTCGAACAAACACAAGGCGACTCTGTACATGCACAGTTCCAATTCTTTTGGCCAAAATCACGAGTGTTTCGTGCCGGATAGTAGCAAAGCATATCCACTAAAACTAGGTATTTTACAATTTCTTGTTGCGCTGAGCGCGGTACTTGCTCTCGGCAATCTTCTGCAGCTCCGCAATGCGGTCGACCTCCTCTTCTGACTTCCGCCTAAGACCCTCCTTCTCTTCGGCAATCTCCCGTCGAGCACTCTCCCGCTCGCTCTCCAGGCCCCTCAGCAATTCCAGCAACCTCAATTCCAATTCGAGCTCTTCTTTCTCTTTGCGGGAGACGTTACGTTCCCTCCTGATGACGTCAGCAGCAGCCACGTGGCCTTCCCAGACCGCGAGATCCGTCCCGACGCACGCGTCGGCTGTCGAACCGCCACATGGCAGGCCCCCCTCAGAAGTTTCCCTACTCACCGTTCCCTTGGTTACCACGCGCCCTCCCAGCGCTTGGCCCCCGTCCTCGATGACGTCAGCCGCGGCCGCCACGTCAGCACCGGTGCCACGTGAAAGCCTCACCGCATCCCCGAGTCCAGGCTTCCCTGCTCCGGCGAGCACCACTTGACCCAGTCCTCCCTCCAGGGCGACCACTACACGGCTAGCACCACAGCGGAGGTCGCTCAAAAGAGAGAACTTTTTATCGAGCTCCCCTCTGAGCCCTTCCTCAATCTGCTCCATTATACCGTATACCGACCCCGCTTCCTTCTTGGCACGTGCTTCTTCCTCCAGCAAAGTTCTCGCCTCCCTAGCGACCTGTGCTCTGCGCGGCAGGGCGTCGTTCCATCTCTTCTCTAGTTGCTCGTTCTGCTGTACGGCTTCGTCCCGCTCCGCTTCCACTTCCTCTGTTAACTGTAGGGCGGTTTTCACCTCTCGCTCTAGTTCCGCTGCCCGCTCTAGGGCGGCGTTCCGTTCCTGCTCTAGTTGCGTCGCCTTGCTCTGACTGTTTGCTAAGTCCTCCGTTTCCTCCTCGACCAGCGCCCTGAGTGACGTCACCTCTGCCCTTGCTGACGCAACCTCCGCTCTTGCTAACGCTAGCTCCAGTTCCAGCGTCGGCATCGCCTCGCGCGCTTCGGCCATTTCCCTCACCACCTCTCGTTGTTGCGCCTCCGCCTCTGCCACTCGTTCTGCTTCTTTTTCCAGCGCCTCCTTGAGTGACGTCACCTCCGCCCTTGCTGACCCCGACTCCGCTCTCGCTGACGTCAGCTCCGTCTCCAGCTTCCGCATCGCCTCACAGACGTCGGCCGTCGCTCTAGCCGCCTCTATTTGCTGCGCTGCCGAGTCCCCTGCCGCTCGTTCCGTCGCCCTTCTCAGCGCCTCGCTGACTGACCTCACCTCCTCTCTTGCTGACGCGGCATCCGCCCTCGCTGACGTCAGCTCCGTCTCCAGCTTCCGCATCGCTTCACACGCTTCGGCCGTCGCTCTGGTCGCCTCTAGTCGCTGCGCCTCCGAGTCCGCTGCCGCTCGTTCCGTCGCTCTTCTCAGCGCCTCCCTGACTGACATCAACTCCTCTCTTGCTGACGCGGCATCCGCCCTCGCTGACGTCAGCTCGGCCTCCAGCTTTCCCCTCGCTTCTGCCGTTTGCCTCACCGCCTCTAGTTGCGTCTCCAGTTCCGCTGCTCGTTCCCTTTGCTTTCTAAGCGCCTCTTCCAGACAGCCCACTTGCTTTTCTTTCTCCTCCACTTGGCCCCTTAAATCTCTGACACTGCTTTCTAACTCCGCTTTTTCCGCTGCAGTCCTCTTCCCGAAATCGGCCAGCACGCTCTTTCCCCGTTCGACTTCCTGCATCGAAACTTTTAACTCCATTCTCAAAGTTTCCTCCCGTCTCTTCCACTCCGCTTCTCTTTCTTTGTATCCCGTAACCTCTTTCGTCTTGCCCTCCAGTTCCCGACTGAGCGCACCAATCCTTAGCTCCATTGCTTCGCGCACTTTCCTCGCCTTTTGTATCCCTTGCTGCAGCAAAGTCGACGCCTCCAGAATTATCTCCCTTTGTAGTTCGCCGCCTGCCGGCACCGGTTCCGATCTGCCCCTCTGATCTTCTCCTTTCTCACCGGAAACTAACTCACTTCCGGGCAGCCCAGACGACCTGTTCGGGATCTCCGACTGCGGACTTCGGGATCCGGACAGGTCTGCTGGCGTTTTGGACAGTCCGAACCTGCCAGCGTTTTCGGACCTTACTAATTCGGACAGCCCAACGGACGGTTTGGCTGCCCCAGTCTCTGGCTGCTTGTCGGCGCAGCTTGGCGCGAGCCTCTCCGAAAGAGACGCTGGCGGAACGGGGTGTCCGATGTGTTCCGGGGGTCTTTCGGACGGGGATTCGGACAGGGGCGCAGAGCGTCCCGGTTCCGGGCGGTCGCTGAGCTCGGCGGCCGGTGCTTTGACGGACCTGGGAAAAAGAGCGGAATGTTAATAACTACGAGTTCGTTTCAAGATGCTTACGAAAATGCTTACGAAAGATGGGTGGAAACTTTTGAAGCCGTCGTGTTTGATTGTGAGCACTGTAAGCGAGTATCCTGGGGTCTCAGCGAGCAGGCAACGGCTTTCGAGGCCCAAGAGTGCTTGAAACACTGTCGATAACGTTCGATGTACAGGAGGAGGCGCCCGCTTGCATTTCTGATCACCAGAAGAAAACGGCCCGCAATTCCATTTCAGCAAAACGCAGCTTTCGCACCAAACAGGCTTGTGACTTGGCTGTGGCTCGGCTATCGAGATGGTGTGAAAAGAGTAAAAGAAGAATCAAAGCACTCGCTCAAGGCAACTCGTTCAGTAGTCATTGGCGAGACTTTTCTGTTGACATCGAAAGGAGATGTGAGGAAGGGTCAGCGTTTCCTGTTGTCTTTCCAAGTAAGGCTGATTAGCATTTTGAACAAGCACGCAGCGAGAGCCAGCCTGTCCCGAGTGCTATCCACGTAGGGGTGCAGTACTTACGAATCAAAGAAGTGTCGAGCACGCCAGACCAGCAAGACTCTCAGAAAACACGTGCAAACAAGAATCTCAGCACGGCCGGTTCTTGGCGCACGGGCAGCCTCACTTAAAGTACAGACCAAGACCGACCCCGGTTGGACTCTCGAGAAAACCCCCGGCCAACAGTTCAAGTCTACTTTGGCGGGCAGTTTAGAAACCCCCTGGATCACCGTTTGACACGAGGGGACCGGCAAACCCCTGCTGGTTCTAACAGCAAGGAAGCGAGGACAACTTACAACTGCAACACACAATCACGGATAAGTCCCGGGGCTCAAATCTCAGTCCAAACTTCAATATCCAAGGTTCACAGTTCAAAGTTCAAAGATCAGACTCACCTGAGAGCTTCTTCAGACGGGCTCCCGTCCTCCGCCATCACCCCGTCCGTACCTGGACCACCTTCTCCAACATCCAGCGGCGCCTCGCCTCCCAGGTCGCCCACCTCTGGGAGCCAGTCCCCGACGCCCGCACTCTCCACCCCATTTGAATCTGCTGCCACGTGTTCCTCTTCTGTGGCGTCGCCTTCGGTCTCTTCCCCTTCCCCGCCGCTTCTGGGATCTGTCTGTTCCACCCCGGGAAGAATTGCCTGGGGCGCTTCCGTAGTTTCGGTCGCTCCCGCATAAGCAACCGTCCTTTTTTCTTCCGGTTCTAGTTCTTGATCTCCGAACGGCAGCGCTGTGTCCGTCAGCGGACTTTCCGGAGCATCGGTTTGCGAACCCCCTGCCAGCGGTACGGAAGGGCCGGCAGACGTGTGGTCACTTTCTCCCCCCAAAGCCTCGCTCACCGACCCATCTCCCCCCTGACTTCCCTTTCCTTCCGGTTGACTGCCCGGTACGCCTTCCCCGGGCTTACCCGTGTGTCCCGTCGTCTCACCATCCATCCCCGGTTGCTGCCATCCAGCCTCGACACCCCTGGCTGCCCCTTCAAACAGGATCGAACGACTTTTTGCTGCAGTACCTGGCTCCGTGGCCAGCCCCTTGCTGTCGCCCGGGTGATCCCCCCGGGCAGTATTTCCATCCTCAACCAGCCCGTCTAGCCCACCCGCGACCCGTCCCCCAATCTCCTCACTTCCAGCCGACGCCTGGGCTCGTACGCCACTCCGTCCCTGCCTCGAAGGCTCTTCTGCCAGACCCGTTTCCGCCACGTCTCCTTTTGCCACGTACCAGTCCTCCACGTGTCCGTTTTCTGCAGCGCTCGGCGACGGCCCCCACGAACCCCGGCGCTCCTCAGACGGTTCGGGCGTCCGCAGCGGCGTTGGTTGCGTCCGTTCGGACGGCTCCGGGGTCTTGGCCGGCGACCAGAGTCCGGCCGCAGCAGCCAAGTTGGTCGCCGTTGTGTCCTGAACGGTGCCGTCTTCAGCTAGCGACTCCGCAGTATCAAGCCCCGCCTGCGAACCTTCACCTTCTCGATGCTGATTCTGGCGCAGTTCCCCCTTCGGCTGCTCAATCTGGGTTGAGCGTTCACAAGTCTTCGGAGACCCAACCGCACTCCCCGGCAAAGAGAACGGAATGGTGGGCTCGTTGGCGGAAGCGCAGAGCGTTCGAGTTGGAGACGGCGTCGCTTCGTCGTCAGACCCGTCGAGAACAACTAAGTTTTTCGGCCACGCTGTTGACTTCTTGGGGGCTGGAGTCTGGGGAGCAAGCGGGGCTTTTGCGCCTGCACAGGAGCCGAGGTTCAAAGTATTTTGCAAGTGCCAAGAGACCAGATAGTTCAGAGATATGGTGCAAAGTCGGATGATGTGTCTCTGAGCCTCGTCTCAACCAGGATCCGGAGGGCCAGGTACAATCGGGATTGCATATTGAACGGATCAGGTGTTAGTGCTGGAAATGGAAAGGAGTCCTTGACCCGGCGGTTTACCTCAAAAACCAACACAAAGAGTCAGGTCTAGACACATACTCTGGACTGTCGTTACGTAAAAAATATTAAAGAGGGCCGCAATCAATGGCTGTAAAGGAAGGAAAGCAAACCGCCGTTGTTGTCTGTTAAATGTAGCCGTAAGCTCCGCAAAAGCTGCAGCTTTTTGTACAGTTTTTGACGCGAGTTTGAACGAACGACCGTGTCCGGAATAAGGTGGCAGCCGTCGGCGTAGATCAACTGGTTCTCTTTAAGCTGCGAACAAAAAGCGAAGCCCAAAAACATTGTACTCTGCAAACCTAATCATACGTGCTGCGTGACAGGGGTCATCGCGTTAACATGCGATTGGCGAAGTACCTGTCACATTGAAGTGTTGGCATGCGATGCATGTGGAAGTTTTCTTGAACTCTTTCATCAATTGGTGTTTCCATGTCAGGTAGGGTATTGTTGAGCGAGACAGCCGCCATTGGTCATCGTAACCAGCACGTCTTGCCAGATATGCAACAGCCTCTGCCCGTGCAAAGGGCCTTGCGAGTTGGAAGGACAGGAAAAATAACAAGAACATGGGGACGTGGAAGGCAAACAGTTCACTGCCCACCTGCTCGTGTCTTCCTCTCCGAACGCCTCCGCTCCTCGCCCGCTCCGCCCGCCCTTGTTCCGTTCCTTCTATTGACTTGAGCGTCCGCCAACGTCCCTGTGCCACCGCTGCTTTTCTCGTCCCACGCAGGAACGCCGCTTAACGGGCCCCGCTCTTTCGGCACGCACTCCTTTCGGCGCTGCCGCTTTCCGGGGGACGCTTTAGCGGGCTCTCCGCTTCTCGGGACTTCCAACGACATCGCCCATTTCACAGAGGCGCCGCATCCCCCCCCCTCCAGCGCTCGGTCAATCACCCGCCTGGCAGATTGTTTTTCCGCCTTAGAACCTCCAGGCACACCGACCGGAACGTCCCCGCCACCAGCCACGCACGTTTGCGGAGGGTTCTCATTTCGCGGGAGGTTGAGGCTCCCTAACTCGCGCTCCCCCGGAAAAAGCTGCTGTCCGCACTCTGCGTTCCCAGCGGTTTCGCCCAGCAGTATGGACGCCTCAAGCGCCGATTCGGACGCGCCCGGATCAGTACCGGACGCCTCGAGCGCGTGTTCCAGAACGTCAGGCGAAGGCCCGGACCCATCGGAAGCAGGTCCGGGCGAAGTGGGCACAGGTTCGGTTGCAGTAGGCCCAGGTTCGGAAGAACCAGGAGCGGGTTCGGACGCACTGGGTGCCGCTTCGGACGCATCAATTGCTGGGACTGATGCACCGGGCGCCAATTCGGACGCACCAGGCGCTTGGATGAACGTATCAGGGGAGGGAGCAGACCCCACTGGTGCAGCTTCGGAGGCATCACGAGTGGGTGCGGACGCCCCAGGTGCTGCTGCCGGCGCTGTGGACGCGGGTTCGGATGCACCAGGGGCAGGTTCGGTGGACGCGTCAGGAAAGGGTTCGGACTTGGTAGGAGCGGGTTCGGACGCCAGCCCTTCGTTCAGGTTAACAGCTGGCGCAGGCCTGGGTTTCTTGCGAGCCGGCCAGCAGAACGCGTCTACGTCAAAAAGTGGCTTTCGCTTTCTCTTGCCCCGCCCCCAAAGGCCTCCCTGTCCGCTCGCCACCTCGGGACGGGTACCCTGCACCGAAAACGCGTTCACACTCCCGCCACCCTTTCCATTTTTGCTCGGGGTTAAGGGGGCCCCACTTCCTCCCGTGAAAACTCCACCCTGCTCCACGGACACATTTTCACCAGTGCCCCGCTCACCGATTCCACCTGAGGTGAACACGCCCCCGCTCACCGGCCCCACTTCCGTCGTTGCTGTCTTGTTCAGGTTCTCCTCAGACCGCTGCGAGCTCTTCTGGGGGCCCTCCGTTTCTTTAAGGCGGCTCTTCGTCCTCTTGAAGAGACCTTTCTTCTTCGCCCCCGGCTTCCGAAACCGGTCAAAAATTGGGCAGGCCGAATCACCCCCCGAGGCACCACCACTGTCCGCTTCCCCCATTCCCCCAGCTTCGGTTGACGGTGTCGCGCCGCCACCACTTCTGCCCATGTTGGCTACTCCCTTGGCGCTCTTGCTGACGTCATCTTGCTGCACCGCCTCCCTGCCTTGGTCTCCGCCATCAGCATCTCGCATCCCCGTGACCCCACTTCCGCCCCCTTGGAACATGGGTGCAGCGCTGACGTCAGCACCCCCCTCCGCCGCAGCTGGTGTGACGTCACCAGGCAGGAACGTTTTGCTTTGAAGAACTGGGACGGGGCCAACACCATCTTTGTCGAATCCCGAAGTGGGCACCCATCTGTCCGGCTCTAAACGGAAGGAGGCTTCCTCTACAGTGGGAGGCTCGTTTGGATCCTCCGCATCTGCCTCCGTTGGGTCCGGCCGTCTAGTCCTTCTCCTAATGTCCAAGATGGCGGTCAGTCTCTTCAGCTTCTCTGCTGGTGCGCTCCCCCTTTGGGAACCCCGAGTTAATACTCCCACCCCTGATGCCGCTAGCTCACTTGGAAGTACTCCAGTGCCTCTCCTTCCTCCGTCTCCAAGTGTTCCTCCAGTTGGCACTTCAACCTCGGGGGTGACGTTCATTTTCCTCCGCTTTTCTGTGCTCTTTTTCTCGCCCACCTCTCGGGCCCCTCCCGTCTTCTCCACCCCGCCAGACACCCCTGCGCCCCTCGTTTCGTGGGCGCCCACTTCCAGTGTTTCTCTCCTCCGCCCCCGCTTGCTTCTCACCTTCGTGGTCGCCGCGACGTCTTTCCTCCCTTCCTTTTCCATGCCCCCTTCTTCTGCAGCTTCCCCTCTGCCCCTCTTCCTTTGTCCCCTTTGGCTGTTCTCACAAGAAGGACCTGCACCAGACCCCAACTCTCCGCCCGCGCTTGCTGACGTCATCTCTCCCCTCTGACCTGACGCCCCGCGAGCCAAAGCAGCCCGCCTTTCCTTGGCAATGAACACCACGTGACGGGTTACCGCTTTCGCCGATATCCACTGCGCGCTCGGGAAGATAACCGCCTCCAAACCCTCTCCTAAACCCCACTTTCGGCCGACCCCTCTTACGAGGTCCGCCGCGCTTCGGAGGTCGTTTACCACCGACTTGTCCTCGAACTCTACGTCAAAGTTGATGTCGTAGTCTTTTGGCTGGCCCCCCCTCTCGAACACATCTCGTTGCACCCTCACAGGTCTGACCGACAGTTTCGAGAGGGTTATGCTCCTAACCGGGGGTTGGTTTTGACGGGAGTTCAGGAGATCAATCAGCGAGGGAAACGTGGCTTCCCATTTGTGACGGATGCAGGCGGCGTCTTGCTCGGCGAATGGGCGGAAAGCGCCAGCACTTCTCTTACTGGGCATCGTTGCACTCTTAAAGTCTTCTCAAGGGGCCGCTTCTCTCCTTGACCTCCTTGAAACCAGTGGTTTTTTGTAGGGCATCTACTTAGACCTGCGAAGGAAGAGCTTATGTTGGTTAGCGGATGGTTCCTTTGAAAGAAGGGTGTATGAGGAAAGACAATGAAATAAGAGGCTGGGGACTCAGCTGCAAATGTGAAGACAGGGGAAGTAGGATGCAGAAGTAAGTTTGAAGGAAGTGTCAAACTTATGCCGCCATAAGTAAGTCCTAAGTGAGAGCCAGGTGTGCAAGGGCTTTTGGTGTTTTGGACTTAACCAATGAAAGTTGCAAGAAACAGATAAACAGATGGACAGGAGCTGAGGACTGTTTGTTTGCCAAATAGTGCCGTAAGCCCCACCCAAAAACAGCCCAAAAGAGCAGCAACACTAAGTGCCCCTTAAATGAAGTTCCATGCACTGAGGAGGGCTTCTCTAGTAGCTGGCTGGGCATAAAGGCCTTTCAACGAATCAGCTATATCGCACAGGTCAGGGGACAGATGCAAAAGTGTTTTGAGCTTGTGTTGCGCTTGGAGATTGCCCAATGAAAGTCTTTGAGTAATCACTGAGCTCAATAATATTGTAAGAATCTTCTGATCTCGACTTTGTCAACAAAGGAGAAGACTAGGCTTGTTCTCACGAAGGGGGGAACTCAGTCAGACACCAGACTAATACTACCCTGCTCTTAATTGTGACCATGACAGTCATCTCAATCTCATACCCTGCCTTAAACAACTCCCCCACATCAGCCGTCACTCATACACGCAGTTTCCTGTAGCCTGCAGATTGCTTGGCATCTCATTTGAGGACTCACAATCCTCCTGGTGCTTGAACGCCACCCGCCCTCCAGACAACAATTGTAAGTGAGCTGAGCACCATCCTGAACGTTGCAGTCGGTCAGCAATATCTTGATTGAGCACATTGTCAACAACAGTAAGAAGGTGTCCTGCTTCCTGCTCACCTGCATTGAAGCACGCTCTTCGAACTGCTTTTCCCAGCGACGTTCAGTTTCTGACTTTTGACCTCTGAAAGTGCGCCACCATTCCGAAGCTGTAAGCACTGAAATCAAAGCGAGATTGAAACGTTCAGTAAAGAGCAATTGGCTCCTTCCTCCCCCTGCGCAAGTGCAATGCATCACGTACTAAGGGCCAAGAGCTCCTTCCACTGGTGATGGCGCCAACCTTGCAGTATCAATTATGCACAACAGCCACCAGCCGACCAGCCAAAAAGGTCAAGCCAAATTACAATATATATCGTATTAGTTTCCCGGTACCTGAAGCCTGTGGCTGAAGGAAGTCTAGTACGCGCGACGGGCGCCCGACAGACTTCCGACATTCTTCCATCAAACTGCCGCCCGGTGCAAACGGCCCCCCACAACTTCAAGTGTAGCTTCTGGCCGACTCAGAAGCTACACTTGAAGTTGTGGGGGGCCGTTTGGGCCAACCATCTGAAGAATGGCATAAAAGGAACGGCTCAGATATCCTCGGACAAGATCGACGGCGTTCGGGACTTTGAGCCGATTTAGCGCCTCTTCTGGCGCCTGCTTGGCCCACTGGTGACTCGGTGCCTGTGTTTGCAGCTGAGCCTCAGAAAAGCAGGATTGTTGGGGATGTTGCTAGCTGCGGGCGTCTGATTGTTCTGAGGCAAAGAAGTCTTGTCAAAAGAAACAGAAGATGAATTCTGTGGAGGCGGAAATAGGAAAGGTTGCTGCAAGCATTCAGGCTCTATCAGAAACAATTAAAAAAGCAGAGGGACAACTGGATGATGCGCAAGAAGCTAGAGATGGGGAGGCTGTGCACCTGTGGTTGCAGCAGTTGACGGCTCTGCAGCAGAAGGAGACAGCTCTGCAGCAGCGATTGACGGCTCTCGACCAGCAGAAGAACCTGCTGCTCGAGG